TGTGTGCCAACGTCTGTGTAAAAAGATGACACAGAAGGCTAATCATGCTGCCGAGTATTGCGAATTATCAGGTTTTTACAAATAATAACAGCTGTTGAGATCGTATAGACTCTCTGAAAAACCATGCATACGACAACTTGATGCTGTAGTCGTAGCCGATTGTCGCCCTCCAGCTTCATATAAATGCACTTTCATTTAGGATTCTGATGGCTTCTCCACCATGCTCAAATGGTGATGTTTACAGTCGAGATAAAGGGATATATTGAATATAAACAAACTAGATCATGGGTGTATAAAACATATTAGGGTGGACCTGCCACACTTGGCTATTTCTATGCATCAGTATGGAATGGAACTGAACTGAATCTTGTTGTCTGACAACGACTTCATGTCGCATTTCTTCCAAGAGTTGAAGGTGGACCTGCTCCTGTTCTTGTAAAATTGCCTAGACATTGAGGTTTAGATTGCGTTTGCACAAGCGTTACGAATAAAAAGCTTTTACCATCACAACAGCAAGTAGTTCAAACATGCTATACCAGTCTTCACGATGCTCCCAGAAAACAGGAATTCTGGCCGTTCTTAGCGTAAGATACTCGTACATCTTCTTCTCAGCTGTGACGGATACGCCATAAAGCGTCATACTGTCCTTGAAACTGCGAACTGTCAAGATTTGCAGCTTGGTAAAAGTTGAAAAAGAGGCGGCGTACTTGCAATCTACTTGATAGTCTGTCAGTATTCCAATCGCGGTTTGGAGCAGCTTCGCTGTGTCATCCATTGTGTTAAGGTCATCCTCTGGAAGGGAATCGCCAGAGGCCTCCATCACTATACATTTTCCGTATTCACTTTCACCAAGGCCATCCACATAGTGATCCGGATCTGTTAGGTATCATGTATTCAGTGCTGTGACTTTGGAAGGCATTCAAAATAGCTTAAGTTACCAAGACCTTCGATGTCGTCGAAATATGAAGCAAAGTCAATACGCATAGTAACCGTTTCACCCCTATTCAAATTGATTGTAAGATAGCTTCTTTACATTTTCCTCCGTTTCCCGAAATTCTTACCAAATGAACGAAACCAGATCGGTAATCGTACTAAAATACTTGAACATGGGGGCAACGGAGTCAATCCAATACGTCCTTTCGTGATCGTCAGGGTACTTGAAATTGGTTTTGGTCCGCCTCATTGTACAGAAGTCATTAAGGGTTCCTTGCATGATCGCAAGGAACTGGCCATTGTAAGTTGAAACGTCGATTTCCTCGACGCACCTAGCAATAGCTTCTGATGGATTTTCAGCCTTCAACACTCTTTTCAGATATTCCATGGCATTTGGTATGGCATTAAGGCTCAAGCGACTAAGATTATCTTCTCGGTTGGAAGCAAATTTCTCCTCCATTTCTTCGCTTACGGCGCCAGCTATTCCGAAGAGGACCATACTTTCCAATGTATACAATTCAGCTCTCATTAAGTTGGGTCCATCAAGGGTGCGAACCATATCGGGTTCATTGAGGGTGCCAAACATATCGGGTTCATTAAGAGTGCCAACCATATCAACCCATGAAGGGATCGCGGTTTCATTCTCTTGGTTTATAGAAAGCCTCGGGGTAACCAATCTTTGACTTTTTCTATCCTCTAATACAAATCATGTCAGTTCAGAAAAAGCAGCATGAATGTTGTGCAGTACTTACTTCACGCTGGGAAGAACTATTTTCGGTAACCTCACCGGAATCTCTCTGTAGACTGATGTTTAGAATGGGAACAATAGCTTAGTCATAAATCAAGTAATCATCTCACTTCCTGTGAAACAGTCGTGTTCAAAGGTCCTAATGATGTAGAGTATGTAGTTGCTTCGTAATTGATTAAAGAACTCGAGGCTACCGACTCCGCAAGATTATAAGCTAAAGCTGGTGGCTCCGTAACTATATCATCTGAAACTGATGGTTCCACAATCACAAGGACTGAAGTTGATGGTTCCGCGATAACAGGGGCAGAAGCTGACAATTCCGCCATCACAGAAGAAGAAGCTGAAGGTTCATCAGTTAAAGTCATAGGGCTTGAAGCGAGCAGTCCCGCAGTTATGTCCTCCTGAGCTGACGGTTGCTCGTCCACTCCTGCCAACTCCGAAGGTTGGTTGCCGAGAGATATAGGAAAATCTGGTTTAATAAATTAGATAGTACTTGCAGTACAATTTTGATAAACCTGCACTTACCATGCGCATTCATTAGATGCTCCTTGTACGCCTCTTGGTCGTCTGTATTATACTAGCAAGATGGAAATACGCAAGTGTCGTCAGCATCTTGGTATGCCCTGCTACTTGTAGAGACTTCAATTGAATAGCCTATGTGATAGAAGTGAGGGTGTCATAAAAGGCTGGTGTGAATAAACATATAGCGATATACGTACCATGAACATCTCTGATATGTCTACGAAGCGACCTATTGTTGCGGTAGCCATTAGGGTTGGAAGTGCAGTTGTCGTATACGCAGTGCATTTTTGAAATTATTCTTGAGAATAGAATGAAGAAGTTGAAACGCAATGATATTTCAATTTAGATTTCTTTATAAGTTTTATTCACGCGGGTCACACCGTTTTCACCATGGTACCTGTGCTCCTTTCCATTAACATCTTTTTCTCCTCTTGTCTCATGCCGCTCACTATGATCCGTATCTCTGCGTCGACACAAATGAGAGAATTCTTCTGTTATATAGTGCAGACGGCCATTGCATCCCTGAAGAGTATTTGTCAACAATGACTCTGACCCTTCCAAGTCCCCATTGAATGCACAATCATATCGCCTCTATTCCTGATGATTACGAGGCGGCCCGTGCTGTACCTTGGGAATATATTTGTTCTTTGGGACCTTATATGAGGCGCAAGCTGGTGATACGACCGCGAGTTCTCATGGGGTCCATTGGTTATCTACTTTATTGCCTTGCAGCCTTCTTGTCGAATAAGGTAATTTCGAAATATATCTTGGTACAATTTTTTTTTTTTGAGATATTCTCAACCGCAACAACGATGATAAAAAAGAGAGCCCTGACTCAAAATCTCTTTCCTTACTATAATAGACGACCCTTTGTATACCAAATACCTTGCAATAGCTATTGGCGAGCTAGGCGATGGTAGCTTTGGGGGTATCGGGTAGTTTTTTGAAAGAAGTTAAGAAGCTTTGTGACTGCTAAAGAACAATGCACTTTCCTGCTTGACTGATCAAGCTGTTCACCTCTCATAAGAAAGTAATATCACTAGAAACTGATAAATAAATTGCTTTTAGTTTCAATGCTTAGTTTTATGTAGAAAATATTTCTAATACATAATGATGATTCCCTCAAACTTTGGGTTCTGGCCGATTTGGAGATAATAAACCAAAGTGGTACACACCAAGCGTTCAGGGTTGGCTACAATAACGAAATGATAGCGTGAAGCAAAGTTTTGAAATTTTTTAAGAAGGAGGCATTGCAACTGGCAATGTATATAGGCATAGAATAGCGTAAATGAGTTACTGTCGACGTTTTGAAGGACAGCTATTAACCATCAAGGTCGTTTTTCGCTATTTATTCATTATAGGCATGGGTGGTGATCACAGTGTTACTAACACTGTAAATACATCATTTCCATAGTATTTTTGGTCGTATTTTCTGCAGCAAAATGTATTTTTTCTTCTGCCTCTGCTATACAAATTTAGTCAAGTCGGCGACATAGCTTCAAGTGGAGCAGTACCGTCTTCCAATGCTCTAATGGTATTATACAAAAAAGTCTTATATTCGATCTACTTTGTTTAAAATTGCATTCTCTGCTCTCTTCTGACAAATTGCTACGTCGGTGCGATTTGCAAATTTGTGTGCGCCGGGAATTGTAAAATTGAAAATAACCTTCAAGAATCGACGTCTCTGGCGAACAAGACCCAAGTGCTAACTGTAAAAAATGCACTTTAAATTGTCTCAAGACATTTTTCTTTGATGCTGATTGATGTTGTGCTTGATGTACATTTTTATGTCAGAATCTGCTATACTTCCGATGCTTGCCGGCTCTAGATGCGGAAACCCCATGGTTTGTCCAGCAGGCATGGCCCTATGCCGCTGAAAACTTGCTCCTTGTATGTTTGGCGACCGAGCTGAGGCTTATTTTTCCTTGGTCAAAAGGCGTACCACCTCTACACAGTTGTAAGGTGAGATCATAGCTATTAAAGGAAGAATTTGACGCAAGCGAGCGAAAGCTCAGGTCCGAGACTCAGAAGGAAAATCTAAAAGGTGTGCGATGAAACTGTCACGGTGGCTTAGACTTAAAGGGGTCAACTCTTTCAAAACCGAAATTTTGCCAGTGCTCGCGATAAATAACACCATTCCAAATGTCCCTTGCATTACTTAGAACGGCGTGCCGAAGGACAGTTACTCCTGTCGTTGGCAACTGTATGTTATTAATATCCTCTTCAGAAAACAATTACGAACCCATTTGCTTACTCCTTACTCAATTCAACAGCACTTGTATGGCGATCAATTGCCACTCAACCCACTAGAAATCTAGCTAGCAAGGACGAGCAATTGGAATCACTAAGTATGGCCAGATTTCACGTCAAGCTTCCATTTCTGTTGATGTTACTGTATTAACCAGCTATGTTTTCGCCTCCGTTTCAATAGTTCCTTCCAAGGAAGACTTAAAATCTGTTAAACTTAGTCGACCAGTTCCACAAGCTGTCAATTCCTACAACTTGACCATCTCCAAACTTCTTGCAGCTGGCTTGCACTTGGGTCATTCTACCAGTCTCTGGAATCCCGCCACACTTCCCTTCATTTTCGGTACCCGTGCCGGTATCAGTATCATCAACTTGGAGCACACCTTGGTCTATCTTAGGCGAGCATGCAACGTTGTGCGAGAAGTAGCACAACGCGGAGGTACCGTCCTCTTTGTTGGAACTCGTCCCGAAATATCCGAGTTGACTATAGATGCGGCTCGCACTGCTGAAGGATATCATGTTTCTGGAAAGTGGACCCCAGGAACTCTTACAAATGCTCACCAGGTGCTTGGACGACATGCTACACCCGATCCTCAAGATCCTGGTAGACCACCAAAGACATATAAGCCGGATATCATGATTTTGTTCAACCCACTCGAGAACGATATTGCCATTGCTGAAGCCCAATTGAACAACATCCCTACTATCGCCATTACCGACAGTGACTACGACCCACGTCGAGTGACATACCCCATTCCAGCCAACGATGATTCTATTCGTGGTGTTGAATTGGTAGCCAAGGTGTTGGCTGCCTCAGCGAGAGAGGGTGTTATCAAACGCAAGCAATTGATGGATCGCAAAGAGAAGAGCATGAAGGCCTCCCGAGACTACAGAAATCAATATGAAGGTGGACGATCGAGTAATTAGAGATTATAAAAAGAAAAAAGAACATATATGTTTATATATATTCACTGTGGTTTTATTTGCAAACATCTAACATTATAGACACTATAAAAAAAAAAGTATTAAAAAATGACAATGTACAAAAGGTCTAAAAGGAAGGAATTCTCTCTCTTTAAGCCCGTGTGTTTTTAAACGTATTTCAATATACTGCGTTGCGATTTCATTCGATAGATGCTGTCGTATTGGTATAATGATTGGGTCAATATGAATACATGGATGTTATTGTATAGCTTTTGATCCGCACCCCTCTTCTATATCAACATCTTCCTTCGTCATGCGCATGGTTGCCGCCTTGGCTCGTAGATTACGGCGTTCCTCAGGTGTCAAGTTGTCCAAATTGCGAGCAGCGCCTCCCAAACGATAGCTGCCAGCCTCCCACGTAATGGCACTGTCAACTTCATCGTCACTTGCCGGAGTATAGACAGCATCGTTGCTCAGTCGAGTGCCACCATACGTCTTGGGATCAGCAACAATCTCAAGTTCTCGATTGAGTTGATGAAATCTATGATCGTGCTCGCTCCAAACATTGTGGGTCAGTTCGTGCAGTAACACTTTTCGTATACTATCGTAGTGTCGGAATCCCGCCATGTCGTCGGTTCGTAAGCGCAGTGAGATCAATTCGCCTTTGTTTCGATTATAACCCAGGATTGTGCGTTCAAATGGTGTCAATTCGGTAAGTTCACCCACTGACCACTGATACTGCTTCATAACATGCCGAACCTAAAAGAGTTGGAAAAGTGTTAAGATGACGAAACTCAAAAAGTTACAACATCATTCAGAGCGAAAACATACTCCTCTATCGTCTCGTAAGCGTTCCAAAAGTTTCCTAGCTTTTTCCGGCTCGGGGAACTCTTCAATGACAGTTATCTTGTGAAAGTTGTAGCGTATATCATCTTTGTTGGGTCCACTCTTGAATGCTTTCACCTTTCGCACCGGGGTAGTCCGGATGCGATCGACCCGTTTATCAATCTCCTGCACCTGGCGTATATCTTCATCCTTACTTCCAATTAACATGATCTTGACTCCATCCTGTATTTTTGCGTTGACCAAAGTTTGAGCATTATCTTTCAGCAGACCTTTGTACATTAGTTTTTGGCGCTCAACAGGCACTCCGGTCAAATCTTGCACATGCAACTTCAATTCCTCGATGGTGCTTTCGGCATTCCACTTTTGGACGGAGTATATGGTTCCTTTGAATGAGATTTGAAATGATATTATGTTGTTGGTCATCAATGTCCAAGTAGAAAGAGTAGTTGACTTCAAGGAACAGCTTACGTATGCAGGCAATTAATTTGACCGCAACCTATCTGGGTTTCAGTCACATGTCTCGGTTCAAGCAATTGCGTATGATTGGAAAGTACTAGAACCGGTGTTATTACAAATTCAGTGGTAGGAAAAATTGAATAGCTACAAGCATTATTTCATGATGTGCTCTATCAGTGGGAGCGAACATATTGCAATATTAAGGCCGTTCACGGTAGGATGTGATAATGCCACATATGTTCTTTCATTTTCAAATGATTGGAATAAGCTGTTTGTACAAGCATTTCATAATTACGTCTTACCTTCAAGTGGTCAAAGTTTGACTATAAGCATTTCGTATGTCTTGCACTGCCTGCATTGCACTGTTCAACACATTGACTCACTGACAAATCAATGGAGCAGGAAATTTAACGGAGTTTTATTGGATCGATCAATGCCAGACCATTGTCCAATAGTTTGAGCGTACCGTTCACGGCGGCAAGGGGGAACTCTATAGAAAACCCTAAATTCAAAGCCGTGATCGATGACGTTCGAATTGTACTTGTACATCGTGGATGTCACATCTTACAAAGGTATGTATGTTATGATTACCAAAGAAGCGACGGTCCCGTGAGCAAAACGAACAGGCAGGTTAGATTCGAAATTTTTGTATTCGTTGTGAGTGACTGATGGTTATTTGGTTGATGAACATTTTAATTTTTTTTTTGGCAGTCATTCTTGACAGGTCAATTTGCACATTGTTTCTCATTAACGGACCCTATTTCAGCATATAGCAATTTACGCACATCTTCCAAATAAGCATCCCCCACCTGATTGTAATAATAGTATAACCTACTGCAATGCAAGACAAGCCAGGTACAAAGCGTGACTTGTCTGCCATCAATTTGACAGCCGTCATGCTTTCTTGACGTTGGTGTTAACAACCTAAAAACGCCTCGCCCGTAACGCAATTAACAATTCAACTTGTCGTTTGGTATGTCACAACCAATGACTTTATCACATTGGCTAACCACTAGCCGCATTGAACCAACGTCACAGCTGTTGTTATTGTGTTTTAGCGTACCATAATGAAACCAAGTCTAGCTTTAAAACACAAAAAAACAAAAAGGTAATTCCTTGACCGTATAATCTAACCTTGATTTGATTCAAAACATAGTGTTGAACGTGTAATTGAATAACATAACTATTATGTTTGCTCTTTGGCACTTTCAGGGATAACTTAATGCAGGCAAACCGATGATCAGGACAATTTTCACTGATGGATTTTTCTGCATGAGTGAGTGGTGCCTTACTTGGTCACGCCGAGAATTCACGCAAGCGAGTAGTGTGCCTTGAATCAGGGTGTTGTTGTATACAACCTAAAGTGGGGGTTGTAAAACGATTCGAATGCGGGGTAAATGAGAGTGAGCGAAAAATAAAGAACAAAATAAAACGATATGCGTGGGTGTGGGGAAAATATTCCACAATGGTTGTATTCGATACTGAACTTGGAGAGAGGGTCATGAGAGGCTATATTTTTTTTCTACCCTCCGCATTCTTCATCTCAAGGGGAGCTGTTTATCCCGTAGTACAACAAATCCGATGCCGTTTTCAGTATAATTTCTTTATTAGCATGACCGGCTAGCTGCCACTTCTCTCGTTTATATAAAGGAAGCCAATTTGCACGCAATTCAGCCTACATCAAAACTGGCATTGTAAACACCATAAATCATGGCACCAAAGCTTCCAACTACTCCTCTACGCAATCAGCCTCCTGTCACTACTCGAGAGTCGACAAGTTACTGTCACAGCCATCGCATTTACTACTTCCATAGAGACGGTTGCCCCTCTTGCAAGCGATAGTCGAAGTAATCCTGAATGAATGACCAATATGACTATACCTCTTCAGCATGGAAGCCCGCTGAACACTTTCCAACATTGTATAAAAAAATTTGTTCCCAGCAACAAATACTTCTTAATATTAGCACCTACAGTAATAAACCTTTTTTCGTGCACTTGACATTATTGTCTTGCAGTCAACGGCATTTTTTACATTAATCACAATTGCTTGAAGCCTCGTTTTTGTAAGCTACCCATTGTACCCCAGAACCCTTTGGTGGATGCATGCTAAGCTTCAACGCCAAAGTATTGACCCATCTGCGTACAACTGAATGAATTTATATACGCTTTTAACATATCCATCAGGTGCAGGGTTTTTGTTTATTTTTTCCTTAGCGGTATTCCTTCCACCTGACCCTAACATGGCATATAAAGTAGCCTATTGCTTATCTGCTAACCAGCTTCAATGATTTTTGCAAAGTTTAATTCCGGAGAAATACGGCAAACAACAAGCTGTTCACAGTAGGTAAACAAGCTGTTCACAGTGGGCTTTCATTTCCTTCCCAGCGAGGAGGATGATGTGATCAGTCAGAACAACAAATGCCTTCACTGGTATACTACTACATTAGCACGGATACAAAATCAAATCATTTGCCATTCTATTTACAAGCAATTGATTTTTGCAAAAAAATAATAAACACTCTCAGGTTTGCATCTTGCTTTTCCTCAATTCAGCGGACCTTGATACCAACCGCCCCAACTGGATTTGTATTCTCAATGGGGTACGCATTTCATATGCCGCTTCATTACTCACTGTCAGCGAACAGGTTCGAAAGGTGAGTACTATAAGCAGAAGAGCCATAATATAACGCATGGGATGGCCAAGGAGGCTCTTGATACCGGAGAAACAGCGATCATGTACGAACATAGCCTATTAACCTCATACAGCTCTGACATGGAGTACACGTGACAGCAGCTGTAAAGATCAATTCGTTTCCAGCCAACTTTTTTTTTTTTAGGATTTTAAAAGGATGGTGTGCCAGCCTTGCTCCTCCGGCACCAGGTCATCCATCATCAACCATCTTCATTCACATGAGCACCACAACCCCCGTGCCTTCCACTTGGGATACCAAGACCCAAACCTTCCATGGTGGCCAAGAATACCGTTTCATTGAAAACTTTGTTGAAGACTTCAGCGTGACGACAAACTACCTTGGTACTCCCAAAGGTGCCCTCGATGCAGCCCGGGAAGCCGTAAGTAACTTCACGTGTTAGATGGGACTAGTGGTTGAATGGAGGCTAATAGCACCCACTTTTGGCAGATCTCCACTTGTCACCATTATCCACCTGCAAATCAAGAACCTGCAAAGTCTTCATTAGCAGAGTTCTTGTGGCCAACCGATTATTTGGATCAGAGAGACCGTTTGTTGCTTGGAAATGGAGCTTCAGAGCTCATTGATTTGGTTATTAGAATGGCCAACAAGACCATTCAATCTGATCAAGTTAAAACTTGGAAGAGCGGGCCTTGGGACACTCAGGTATAGTACGATGAAAGTATGTTCCCTATTGTATCAATAGCTGACATGGTGTGCTTTCATTTCAGTACAAGGAATACTATCGTAGCGCTGAAACCGCTGAAATGAGAATTTTGAATGGCGATTCTACCGAGCGTGCTAACGTTTTATGTATTGTAAACCCATGCAATCCAACTGGAGACTACATGCCTTTGGATCAGATCAAAACCTGGATCAACGACAATGTGTACGATGGTGGTTTTGTTATTGTTGGTAGGTTGTCTCACGTATTTTTACAAGAGGTACGGGCAGTGCGCTGACGGATGATTGAATAGATGAGTCCATGCAACCCTGGCACTCCGCCAACTTCCGTGAAGATTCCTTAACGTCACAAGGAACTTTTGCGGCTGAATTGTATGCCACTCGCAACATTTCACTTTATGTGTTGCACTCATGGACCAAGATTTGGTCCTGCACTGGATTGCGACTTGGATCCATCATTTGCCCTACTGTCGAACACTGCGCAGGGCTACGCAAAATCCAAGTACCCTGGTCTGTCAATACCCCTGCAATGGCATTCATGGATGCTGTTGTTAAAGATGATCAATACATGCAACAGACATGGGAAGGCACCTCCAGACTTCGTCGGTACTTGATTGAACAGCTGTCGGCTTTGCTAGCGGCGCAACGAGAACAATTCGAGTACAAGGGCAAAGATTTCCTCAGCTGGGTGTGGGTTGATATGAAGAATGAAGAGGTGGCCACTGAAGCGGTCAAACTAGCAAGAGCTGCTGGTGTGCCTGTTCGATCTGGCCAACCTGGATACCAACGACCAACCTATGTCAGAGTGGCCGTGCGTGAAGAGAGCTGTGTTGATATCCTTGTTCAAGCATGGAAGAGCCTCTAAAGAGGGGGGTTTTGCTGCGGTGTCATCGCAGAGATATGCACAAAAGCATTATAGACGATGGGAGATTCATTGCACTCTGTACAGCAATGAAACAACGGGTCTGGGGTTTCCAGGTCCGCACACCTTTTCTACCATACAGGAATAATTAATGATAATAAAAAGCGCAAAAAAAAGGTGAAAACGAAATGAATCCAATAATATGACGTTAGTTGTCAATGTGTCTGTCATAAAGGCATTATCGATGAAGAGATTAGCAATGCGATAAACTCTATATTACAGCACGGACATGGGGAATTTTATTTTTTTGGACCTGGAAATTTTCCTGGTTGAGCTTATCATTTCATCGCTCCCCTCCTTTTTTTTTATGACTGACAATGCATATCAAAGAATGCTGGACCTTGACACACATTCAGCCGATGTAATAAACCCTCGAGTTAGAGCTATATCCGCTTTCAAATGCTATTTTCGTCACTCCCATACGCAAGACTTGGAAGGTATTTAATGAGTGATAGCGTCTTTTTTTCTTCATCTCTATTCCCAATTTCAATTACTCCATTCGGTTCCACTTAAAGTGAAACACTGCGAGGGAAGTACTTTTCAGCTTCCTCCTCCATTATAAATACAACGTTCAGAACATATTGAGTGTGTTCATTTGCAAGTTCTTTGTCCCATTTTGCTGGCGGTTCTGATCAATTTTGATTGACTGCCATACCATGGTTTTCGCCAGCTCCCAGCACCAGTTTGTATTCTCTCCCCTTCGATGGGGAAGAATCCACCTTCACGCTCATGGGGCTCAAAAGCAATGCGCCTCCAGTAGCACGTTGTCACATGAAAAAGAAAATGGTGAATGGCATTCAGGCAAACACTCCAAAAAAGAAAGATCAACATTGATATACTGGAATTCATTATGGAAACGAGTTTCCGCAGATATGAGACCTTGGATGTCCGACTCGATGCAAGACTTGGACGAGGAAGACGACGATACACTTGAAAACATACCAACGTGCTATGACATACCGGTCGATACGAAGTTACATTACTATCTTCGACAACAAACGAGCCAGCGAGACACAAACAACATGACCACGCAAAACACTGCCATTGCACCCAAAAAAAAACGAACCCTAGCATCTCAAGAACACCATTCCGCTGCCATGAGCAGTCTACGAAAATTAAATGATTCCCATCGAACATTACGTGAAATGATTCATATCAATCAAGTGCTACGCAGAGTGCAAGAGGACGAGGACCATATCCGTGAAATGGAAAGGTACAAAATTCAAAAGATGGAACAGGATCCATATGTTGTCAGCACCGTGGCCGCAAAGCGAAACATACACAACTTGGATGGTGAAACGGGAAGACTACGCCCAAGCTATGTCCAACAAACAATGATCACGACTGGGATCCGATGAAAGTTCTCCCCTTTTTATTTTTTTTTCCTGTGCGATGCTGAGCTGAACAGAGCTGAACAGAGCAGAGTATGGCTAATATGAGCACAGAGAAGGATTTAAACTAGACAACACGAAAGGCAACCCCTTTGTGCAAAGCAAAAATAAATAAATGGCATTCCTTTTTCACTGTAACGGCTAGAAACCGATCAGAAACAAATGGGGCTTGTATTGCCATCGGGACATGGCATCCGAAAGTAAGCACTTTTTCACTCAAAACTTGAGTAGAAGCAAACGCCCCGGGCACCCACCAGTCGTTCTAGAATGCCCTTTTCTTTATTTTGCTTTACCCAGTCGACTCAACTTGCATCCGTCATGGACTTATTCTTTCTGAATGGAGAAGTTGGTTAGTTATTCCAGAAAAGTAAAATGGTGTCCGAAAGAAAAACGAAAATTAACATTGTCTGTGCACACAAGATCATCAGCTGGGGGACAATATTGGGGTCCGAGTGGGCTTCTCATGGCAAGGCGTGGTGAGCCCTCCGTTGGCCCGCCGGGATTGCCGCGTTTGGGAAGATCCCAGTATCTTTATATTTAAACGACTTCGCTTTTTCTTTTTGGATGTTTTTTTTTCTTCAAGCTGAAAATCTCTTCTCTCTTCCTTCGTTTTTTTGTCCCTTTTCATCTATATTATTCTCTCTCAAAAGCAAAGTTCCTTATTGATTATACACACCTAGTATTCACATGAACGAACAACTCTTTCAAGCACTCCCTATTTATCAGCAGCCCATGCACGGCTATCACTACTTTGAAAGCGTAAAGACAGCGACTCCCGAAACAGCGCCATGGTATGGCATGGAACAGATAGGCTCAGTGGAAAGCTTACCAACAAACAAAGCAACAAATGTTCGGAATGACGGAAGCCTGGCCCGTCACAACCCGAAAAGGCTATCGTGTCACCTGGACTTCCTCGAGACCTCGCCGCTGAAAGACATGACCGATAACAACACCGTGTTCCCAACCACCAAAAACAACCACCGTGGAAACATAAAATTGGCAGATGCTTCATTAAATGCTTTTGAGTCTCCACTGTTGAGAAAAATCAAAGGTACCAAATGCAAAACTCCCGATCAAGAAGCCGCCGCCTTGGTAACAAAAAACCAGTCCTACAAGGCCAACCATAAACCTACAAAAGATAAATCCGTTGAGCTTTACAAGACCGAATGGTGCCGCAATTGGCAAGAGCTAGGTGTCTGCAGGTAAAGTGACCGGCCGACGTGTCTACAGATAGCACTAGGTTTTTTTTTTTTTTTTTTGGTCCTGGATGCGGATTGTTGACAAACAACCCTTTTTTTTTCACCCTTGGGTATCAGATATGACAAGAAGTGTCGGTACGCTCACAGTCCTTCGGAACTTCGTAAAATTGAAAGACACCCACGATATAAAACTCAAATTTGCCGCACGTACCATGACAAGGGAACTTGCCCTTATGGCGTTCGATGCACCTTTATTCATGAACAGCAGTCCATGGCTAATCCAAATATTTATCACCAGCAAGAAACAACTACTGCTAGAAATTCACCAACCTGTGAGCAGCAGCAGCCTTCAAATTTCAAAACAGCCGTAGGAGCAGTTAAAACCGATGCAACCACTCCAGATGACCAACTCCATCATCCGGGACCTGCAGCCAATGTTGCTGGGATGCCTTGGTTGTCTGGACCTGATACTTTGCTAGAACAACAACCGAACGAGACAAGAGAACGCATGTCATTATCCCAAATCAAGAATGTTGTACATAGTAGATCTGCGTCTACCCCCAATACTGGCTGGAGCCCAACCATGACTAACAATCTGTGGAGTCACCGGCCCTTTCACAACAACGAGGTCAGTTCCAAACCACTTTATCGGGTGACACATGTACCATGTTACTGACCCTTTTTTTTTTTTATTTCTTTTTCAGTCTGAACCGAATGTCAACACAACAGCTGACCTTACCAAGCGTCAAAAACGTTCCTCTTCCATTGCTAGCATGTCCAGTCTTGAAAGCTCCATTTTTGCTGGGGACGACAATGGTTCGCCAGAATTTGATCGCCCCACCATCTACAGACAAGAATACACTGGGTTTATTTCACCTACGATTGAAGATTCCTTTCTGTCGGATTTCGGCTGGATGTCACTGAAACCTGATTTGCTAAAGCCCCATACAGCAGCTTATCTGACCGCCGATATGTAGAACATTTGCGCGCTAAGCGACCGACGTTCATACTCCTATCCTATCCCATCCTGTTTCATCCCACCTCTTTTTCATTCTCTTTCTTTTTTGCTTGCACGTTTTCTGCTCCAATTTGCATTGTCCAAGTTAATCGCATACTCTTTTTGCCTCCTCGTCTACTCCTCACAACGATGTACACGTCAATACTCATGTCCACATCCATTGCATACACACACAATTATATAAACAAAATTTGTGGACCACTTTATGTTTCTCATTTGTAGAGTAAAGCCTTCCATCCATACTGTTGTATTTCCTTAAACATCGCGTTGTCCCACTCAAGAAACTATTTTGTTCCTTTTTTGTCACAGATTTGAGCGTGCTTATCTTTTTATTTGTTCTTGGTATGGAGCAGCGAAATCCGATTGTTTCCATGAGAAATTACATTGAGGACTTTTTGTTATCACTGCCATTGAGATCGTCGGTATTTGGAAACCAGACTAAGCCCAAATTTGAAAACATGCGCACTGAGATGGTATGGAAACCCAGATATCTCGCAACGCTTGACGGACTAATCCGCGTAAGTGCTTTTGTTTTTATGCAGCTGAAAATGATTTATTAAACACTACTTGACAGTGTTTCCTTTTCCATAGTCGTCCGCCTAAATTCTCCAAATAAGCGTACGTCAAAACGGGCGTCGGGTAAACAAAAGGAAGGTGCGATTGGGAACGTGTTAAAATAAACGCTAATGGGCAGTTTGACAGCCTGCCAGACGTGATTATAGAAAGCGATAGTTAAATTGTATCGCCCTCTAGACTTGAAATACTGACTATCACCTTTGAGTATCCTTAGTTCACATAGCATAACCTACGGTCAATGAGCAGTGTTTCTTAAGTGATTTGGGTAATTTCTTGTTGGCGTTCCATCAAGTCATAAATACTTCATCGGCGCAAGTATGTACAGACGCCACTGAACAGAATTTGCCATTTTTTATTTTTTTTTGGCGATAGAGACTTCGAAATTACCCCTGAACAGCTTGCAGTACCAAGCGACATCGCATCCAGAGATATAAACTGAGATCCAATCCAATCCAATCTAATGCATATGGATTTTTGATTGATCTTCCCGCCAGTATACGTTAGGGGTTAACCCGAGCCTGCCATGTCTTGCTGCAGCCCCTCAGTCCGTGCTTATACGTTATCACACGTAGAACCTAGTGTGCCTTAATTATACCTTACAGTGAGTGTGGAATACCAACCAATCTGACACGTTGTCATACGAAGAAACACACTCTTATGGGATGTCTTGTCGCAGGCAACCAATATCGGTCATGAAACGGGTTGTCGATAACGTGTAAGACAAGCTTATCATTACATCGAATGGTTCATATCACCCAACCTACCAACAACACCCAAATACCATCATTCTAGTAACTGTGTGTCAATTCTCCAAGTCCAGAAACATTTTGCAGAGCCGCCGATCTGCCGGGGTGAAACTCGCTTGTACCTTGTCTGAACTGTATGATTTGCTCCATGCCTTATCATCACACTGACAAGACCTGTTTTTCCTTCTCTTCATCCCATCCTCTGTCTGATTACAAATTTCTGCAGGTGAAATGCACCTTGTTCTTGGTGTCGACACAAAGTCAAATATGGCATCATGCTCAAGCTGTTTGAAATAGAAAGTAAATTTCAAACCACCGTAACCGGCCAAAATTTTTACCAGCCTAATTATTTACCAGTTTCGGTACGTTGGCTCGGCAAGGGGTTTCAATACGGTCTTCCTTCCTTCATACCTTCCTTTCCAGCTCTTTTATATAGCACCCTGAGCTTCAATTGTTCATGTATCGCTGATCTAATTTTGCAGCATGGCGACAGTCTAAATTTACTGTTTGTCTTCCCGAAGTACCCCCCTTGCCTATTTTCCCAGGATCACCTGAGAAAAATTTAAGCCCTTCTTTTTCACTCTTTCCTGCCTTTTCCCTGCCTGTCAGCCCGCTTTATCACTGTCAAATTTTTCTTCGACATACCATGTTGAATGCAATCGCTTTGGCTACCAAGTCCTCTCTAAGGGCCTCCCCACACCACGCAAAAGCTTTCTTCTCTTCTTCTACGAGATCTCTTGGTAAATGTCGTGGGGTGATGCATACCGCTGGGGTTTTACCCGTCCTAATATGGTGCTTATACACTTTTTATAGCCAGGAACAAGGTCCTGACCATTGAATCCATGAATGATGCTGTCAAAAATGTCGAATATGCTGTAAGAGGCGAATTGGCTCTCAAAGCTGAAAGTTTGCGAGTGGTAAGTTCGGGAAACCAAGTGTTACGACGGGAATCAACACGAAAGCGATAAGGTAAAAAAAAAATTCCAACCATTAACGCCTTAACGGTTTTTTTGTTGCAGGATTTGGCTCAGAAAAAACCTCTTCCTTTCAAGCGCGTCATCGGATGTAACATTGGAAATCCACAGCAGTTGTATCAAAAGCCCATTACCTTTTTCCGCCAAGTCGTCTCGTTGTGTGAAAATCCAGATTTGTTGGTCCCAAAGAACCGCGAGGCTTTGCTCAAACTTTATCCCATGGATGCGATTCTGAGAGCTGAAATGTTGCTCAGGGATGTCATTAGTGTCGGTGCCTATTCGCATTCCAAGGGTGTCCCATCTATTCGCAGAAACGTTGCCAAGTTCATTGAAAAGCGAGATGGTGTTCCTGCCAACCCTGAACATATCTTTTTGACCCAAGGTGCATCTTCTGGCGTTCAAACTATTCTGCAAGTCATCACCAAAAACCATCATACTGGCATTATGATTCCCATCCCCCAATATCCCCTCTACTCTGCCACTCTGTCCTTGTTCGATGCCACTCCTGTGCCATATTACCTCGATGAAAGCCATCAGTGGGCACTTAACATGGATGACATGGAAGCCTCTGTTAAGGAGGCCAGAAGCAAGGGTACAGATGTGCGTGCCTTGTGCATTATTAATCCAGGAAACCCCACAGGACAGTGCCTTTCTGAAGAAAACATACGACAAGTGATTGATTTCTGCCATCGCGAGCGTATTATACTTCTTGCTGATGAAGTTTACCAAACCAATATCTACCAACCGGACAGAAAGCCTTTCCACAGTTTCAAGAAGATCCTTCATCAAATGGGCGAGGAGTACAAGGACGTTGAGCTGGTGTCTTTCCATTCTATCTCCAAGGGTATGGTCGGCGAATGCGGAAGACGAGGTGGCTACTTTGAAATGGTTGGTATTGACGAAGACGTCATTGACCAAATTTATAAGCTGGTGTCGGCCAACTTGTGTCCCAATGTGCAAGGTCAAATTCTTGTCGACTTGATGGCCAACCCACCACAGGAAGGGGATGAATCCTACCCACAGTACCAAGAAGAAGTAGGCGCTATTTATGAATCCCTTAAGCGCAGAGCTGTTAAACTTGCCACCTGCTTCAATGGCATGGAGGGAGTCACCTGCAATGAAGCCGAGGGTGCTATGTATGTCTTCCCCAAAATCAGCTTACCACAGAAGGCCATCGAAGCTGCCAAAAAAGCCGGAAAGGAGCCTGATAACTTTTACTGTCTCGAGATGCTGGACGCCACGGGTGTGTGTGTAGTGAATGGTAAGTAAAAAGTGTTTCGAGGGAGGAAGAAAATGAGAAGGTTGGTTGGTTTACATAGGAGGTCTAATGTTGGTTTACCCTTTGTGTAGGCTCTGGTTTCGGACAAGCGCCAAACACATGGCACTTGCGATCGACTTTCTTGCCGGAAGAACATCTGTTTGATGAATTTTGCGCCAAGTTGGAAAAGTTCCATGCCCAGTTTTTGGCAAAGTACAAAGATTAACTTATAGGAACGGAGCACTGTAATTATTAGCGACGACAAATGTGTTTGCATTTTTTATTGCTACATCGATTTATAATTTTTTTTTTTTATACATCTTTTCTTCTCTCGCCGGTACACACGCTCCAGTGTTGGTTTTCTCTTGACTTTCTATTCCCCTCCCTACTGTTATCTGTCCATTATACACCCACTTTCACGTCTTATAGAAAAAAAGTAACCAATATCTAGGAATTAGAGAACCGCCCAGTGACATTGCATTATTTTTCTTTGCGGAAGTTGCTTTCAATGTTTGAGATGCCCACTGGCTCACCAGCCTAGAAAAGAGAATCCAAGTTAGTATGGGATGATTCGTTGTGGCATAAAAAGACCTCTAAGGGGTTGATAATCCACCATCACGAAACGTACCTTTTCATCATAATCGGCCCAGTCACCTTCAGTGAGATCGATATCATCAAACTTGGTTCCTGACTCGGCTCCCAATGCAGTCCAACCAGCCTAAACAACCGAAATACAGAATGAGTTGATGTGGTGTGATGAAGAATGCCAGCATTGATGCGATATTTACCCTGGGATCGAATCCAACAGGCTCTAAGCCTCTGCAGTCCAAAACGGCCATCTTGACAAACTTGTTGACTTGCTCAATTTCGTATGAGCCGAAAGGTCCACTGAAAGCTATTGATCTCGGTGTTGGTTATACAGGCCAAAACATACCACAGTGATGAACAGGTTTGAACTTACAAGCTGACGCTTCTCTTCGGCAGAATTTGCACTTCATCACGAGGTTGGCAGTTGCCTTGGATCCACTCACGTCAAACTCGTCCTAACAAATAATGGGCTGAGTGAGCGGAAGAAAGGTAGGCACGCGAATAAGCTGCTACTTACCTGGGCATTCATGGTAATCCAGTTCTCATCTGTCTCGTGGCAGCTGCTGCATTCAATCTGGAGGCAAATACCGGTCAGTAGGGATCAGTGGGCTAGTGTTTGACTGCCAGGCATTACCTTGAAGTGCCATTCAAAATCCGGAACAGGTTGAAGATCGGTAACGTTCTCGAGTTCGGCCTTGATGTAGACTCCAATTTTCTGCCATGATGCAAAAGGGTTGAGAACGAGGCGCCTTGCCTAAGACTAGCAGTTTCAAAGCAACTCACCACCATAGCTTATATATGAATCTCGTACAGAAAATCTTGGGGCTGTCTCCGAAGCGACAAAAGCAAAATTGACTGATAACGCCGTCACGTCCTCAATAAATTTCGTTTGCCATCCATCACCAATGTTCTATAAAAAATGCGGCTGGTACGCGCCTAGTACTGGATTTTTATAGCACCAGGTTCATTGGCTAGCGTAGCTTAGCCTAATTGTTTATAACATTTTTTCTACAATACCAGAGACCTCGACACCCATAATACTGTCAGTGCTTCCCGAGAAGCTAGGTAAAGTCTCTTTCACATATCATACGCAGGACGTTGCCTAATTTATTAGAATGATGCACATCAATATCAATTTCTTCATCACAGCGCTGATGGTTATTAAAATAGGTTGTTTATACTACATCTCATTACAAGGTAACAACGATCTTCTTTGCTGAAACTCCTTTGCTTAAAAGATCATATCCTGGCTGGATGTGCTCGAGTCCATGGCCAATTACTTGCGGCTCTGGAGCGCAGACATACTGACCAGACTCCAAAGCCTTTGGAAGAAAGTCTCGGAAGATAGCAAGACCAACCTCGTTCTTTTTGATGTCGGTGCCATACACCATTTTGGTACTCACGCCTGTACGTACACTCTTCCACTTGAGAGATGCATTGAAGGCGAGAAAATTGGCGACGAACGGAACAAGCTGTAATGTTGATAACTTTGAAGAATTCGATGCTAGACCAGGTCCACTGACATCGGCTACGAATCTTGAACCTTTGGTTTTGCTCAGAATGTCAAGACAGAGAGAGACTGAACCAGGACCAATGGTCAGTGCACCCGCCAGGTCCTTCTCCTTCAAAGCGGAGATCATATCCTGGATGACAGTTTTCTCATTGTAATCGAACACTTGGCTGGCACCCAGTTTTTTAACCAATTCGAAATTTCTGGGAGATGCTGTGGTAAACACCTCGTAGCCTGCTGCAACAGCCAGTTGAATCGCATTGCAGCCAACACTGGTAGAGCCGCCCCACACGATGAGGGTCTTGCCAGTCGATGGTCGAGCAGGTACAGTGGGAAGTTCCAAACCCAGAAAGTCTTTCAAGAACAGACCGGAAGCTGCAGTAGCCAGACCTAGTGGAAGGACAGCAGCTTCTTCATAGCTTAACTTGGCAGGAATGTGAGCCACCAAGTCAGCAGGTACAACAGTGTAATTTTGGGAAGCGCATTCGGCTGGATTATTGCGATCTCGATCGGTACCAGCAGCAAGAGCCAGGACGCGATCGCCGATCTTAAAACGAGACGCAGCATCGCCACCGACTTCGACAATTTCGCCAGCAAGATCGGTCCCCAAGATGAAAGGGTATTTCAGCCAGGCGAAAATAAGATTGCCCATATTTTGAATTATATAGTCGACGGGATTGATGGCCACTGCATGGTTCTTGACAACGACCTGGTCAGCACTTGGAGGTGTATAGGGTGCAGACTTAACTTCCAATGGGTTGGCCTGTTTGGCTGGTAACCATGCTGCAGTGTTGATAGGAGGCATTTTGGTGAATGATGGCAGGGACAAAGCAATGCACGCATTATAAAGGCATGAAAATCCAATAACGGATAAATGGTATCGCTTCGCCGTGTGTGCATTGGATCTGAACACTCTCAAGGAAACGTGTCAGAGGTTGCGATAAAGCAAAGCTGCCGAATCGAGATCGGACCCTCAAATGATATTTAATTCCTTTAAAAGTGTATCATGGACTCAAGTCGGATCTCAAATAGACACATCCTTGATATACCCTTTTGTTACTGTTTAAATCGAAAGTGCAAGTGCGAGCGGGTTTTGGTTATGATCCCATAGCAAATTTTTCACGAAGCGCAAAGCCAGACACACTTAATTTGTAGCCAGTGCAGGAATTGGTTTAGTTCTTCGGATCATTTATGATACGACTGCGGTAAGATCTGCTGCAGCTGTTAAGTTTGATGCACGCAAGTGCCGTAAGCCACGAGCAGCTTCCATCGTACAATCCTAGCCGTTCCCAAGATGGTGTCTACCCTGAAATTTAAACCCCACATGGAAGTGGTGAGCCCGGTTGTTTGGTAAAAGATAAGCCTAGTGATCGATCGTCGACTCTCCGGGCAACAAAGGACGGCGCTAAGCAGTAATGCTAATGTCCATATACCTTGAACAGCCATCTGTTGCATCGATCAAAACCACTCCCCACTGACATGCCTCAAATTGGTATTTATTACTGAGAACTCATCACTGCAGCACGATCTATTATTTGTAGCTGTAGAAACCACGACCAGACTTCTTGCCTAGCCATCCAGCATCCACATACTTTTGCAACAAGACACTGGGTCGATATTTTGTGTCACCGGTGTTTTCATGGATGACTTTCATGATGGCTAAGCATGTATCGAGACCGATAAAATCAGCCAAAGTCAAAGGACCCATGGGCATGTTCATACCCAGCTTCATGGTGGTATCAATATCCTCTGCAGATGCCCAGCTCTGAAACAGCCCAGACGGTTGGTTAAACTGCATTCGGCCAGCTGCCGACAAGGCAAAATTCAAATATGACTTACATTTTCAAGGAGAAGGACGGCTTCATTGATATAGGGCATGAGCAATCGATTGGCAACAAAGCCAGGCACATCTTGCACGACGGTAGTGGTCTTGCCCATGCTGGTGGCGAGTTCCTTAGTGGTCTGCACGATGTTATCAGTCGTAGCCAAACCAGGGATGATTTCGACCAGCTTCATAACCGGGACAGGGTTCATAAAGTGCATACCAATAACCTAATGCGCAATGGTGGTCAGAGTCAGATTAATTGATGTCGACCTAGTGGTAAAAAATTGTTTTGGCCCGTACCTGATGGGCTCGGGATGTAGCGGCAGCGATTTTTGTAATGCTGATACTGCTGGTGTTGGTAGCCAAAATAGCATCTGGCTTACACTCCTTGTCGAGGTCAGCAAACAAGGCGGTCTTGATAGCCAAGTTTTCAGAAGCAGCTTCAATGACAATGTCGACATCACGTAAATCCTTTAGGGTTTGAGTGGTAGACACCAGATCCTTGGTGCCCTGAGCGTGTTCCGAAGTGATTTTAGACTTTCCCACATCCTTTTCCAATAGCTTGTCTATGAAATCGTCAGCTTAATGTGCATTGAACGCTGTATTTTTTTCTCAATTTGCTTCGCACTTACCCATAAACTTGATACCCTTGTCAATTTGTTCTTTGTTCACATCCATGATCACCACAGGAAGTCGGGCGACGTTAGCAGCCACCATGGCAATACCAAGACCCATTTGTCCGGATCCAATCACACCAACGCGCTTTATTCCATGCTGCAAGATAGACTAAAGTTGAGTGAAGCATTCAAGGTTGAAGACAGCTTAGAATGGCTTACATACCGAGATTGGGGCCGAAGTGTGAAACTTGGCAGCCTGGATGGGCGGACGAGAATGGGTTAGTAGTGTCACGGAATTGGCTTCTAGTGAAAGTACATGACCAACCTTGCTGGCATGGCTGCTCAATAGTCGTGAGGTCCTGGAGAACATTGCAAAGAGTTGGAAGTTGACAAGGCAAGCAAATCTGGCGAGAAGGTATATAGAAATTCACGTGGACGTGGGAAAGTGCCGATTTTATGATGCAAATAAGCATTATTTTTTATTTCTCTGCTCAGGCAGGCAGGCTATGAAACGCTCCAAATGCTTCTCTGGGGAAATCAAGTAGAGTCAAAGCTTTAAGAGATATAATGCATAGTGCAGATTATCTGTACTGTTCAATGATCTGTAAAATGGCCCCTGCTGCAAATGGAGTAGTAATAAATAAGCAGTGGTGGTTGCAGCATAGACAACGTATAGAAAATTACTAAGAATGAATGGGATTCATAGTAAAATAGCAGCAAAACACACTTCATTCAGAAGCTCCGGGGCTGGACAAAAAGTCCTTTTGGCTTGTGCACCTTCGTGGCAACGTGGCTGGCTCTCAAGCTTCAAAATTTCGTTACCATGTGACTTCGCCCCTGCCAGCAAACTCTGGCCACCCAAAAAAAGGATGGAGGAGCCGTCTCCCGAATGCTTCGAGCATCCACGACTGTTCTTTCTTCGTGGTCAACAGCAGCATTTGCAGCACCTCTTTCCGCAACAACAGACCAACTTTTGACCGATAAAATGGATAGAAAACTTGTTTTACCCAGATTACTCCGTGACCCTGCCGTCGCCCTCATTGGCGACAAATGCTATACATCGCTGATTGAGAACCTCCAACTCTTCCATGACATTGATTGTTTGAAGTATGCTATCTCCAAGGGTCTTGGATTCGGCATTGTGCTTGGTGGAAGTATCGTCAAGATCCCTCAGATCATCACCATTCTTTCTAGTGGATCGGCTCAGGGTCTTTCCCTCGCATCCTACTATTTGGAAACGTTCAGTTGCGCCATTAGTTTGGCCTACAATTTCCGACAAGGTAACCCGTTCAGCACCTTTGGCGAGACGTTCTTCTTGACTGTTCAGAACGTCATTATCACCTTGATGATCCTCTACTATGCTGGTCAAAAGTCTTTGTTGGCCGCCTCCGCCGTTGGTTTCTTCCTCGTGTTTCAGGCCCTCAGCTCGCAAACACTGGTGCCTAGCAACGTCATGTCCATCCTCTATGCTGCAACTATCCCATTGACATTATCCTCAAAGATTCCACAAATCTATACCAACTTTAAGAATAGCTCCACTGGTCAGCTTTCCATCTTTGCAGTGTTCAATTATTTCTTGGGCTCCACTGCACGCGTCTTCACTACCATGACCGAATTGAACGATCCTCTGATGCTGGCTGGAAACGTGCTTGCTGCTACTTTCAACGGTATTCTCGCTATTCAAGTCATCGTCTACTGGGGCAAGAAATCCGAGCGCGTATCTGCAAAGCCAGGAAAGGCAGATTAATTTGGATGGTTGGCCCATCTTTTGGGAAATGATATCTTATCTGATGCTATGTTGCATCCACTTCATCCCTACTGAGCTTTCATGTTTTTTTCTTGTGCAAAAAGTAATATCAATAAATGCTGTAAACCGAATCATCATAGCACAAAAATAAACCTGTAGATGAGTGAGTAGAGCTTTTTCGAATCTGACATGTGCAAAGAGAAATGAATATGCCCCCCCCAATGTCCGTCAATCAGGTACCGATTACCCAGTCTTGCGTAACACTTTCTCAAACGTGGTGCACATTGGCGATTAGAAATTGACCATAATTGTTCAAATCAGGCCGTTGGGACAGAACTTCACTGTGTTATCAGCCACGCTCAATGCTCGGTGCATGTAGCAGACATCTTCCTCACGTACTACGCAACTTTATTCGACGACTTTATCCACCAATTTTATTTTATTTTGCAATTTGCGTACGTGGATGGATGAGGTTCACTGCGTGATAGAATACCTAACTTTTTCAACAATGATTAAATTCGCAAAGATATGGTCTACAGATCCATTCAATCCCAAGATTCTATTTAGATGAATAAGAAATGATAATTATAACACTAGCTTGAATGAATGATACCGTTTGCGTAATTTGTTTCAGTAGTTTCAATGCCTTGGAAAAAAAAGGCTCTTCGGCTTGGGATGCCGATTTCCAGTCATCTACGCAGATTCGAGCGGAACGCGAAAAAATGGACCACCGATTCCAGCTTTGTCATCGATTTCATGTTTCTCAGACGCTTTGGATCCAAGCAGTCCATTTGTTGGGCATCTAAGGAATGTTTGCGTTTAAAAGGTCAGCCAGTCGTGCGGTGTCTGTGTTGAATAGCAGTCGAGCTTTTGCATCAGCTTCTAGCCCGAAATCCCGTTTACGTCCACTCCCCATTGCCCTTGGAGCCACTCTCGCTGGATCTAGCCTCACCGCCTTTTACTTTATGAACACCGTCGACTATCACCCCGTTGCTCTTACCACCGAGGAAGAGCTTTCCCATCGGGAACTCTACTTGAAGGAATTGGAAGAATTGGCTGTAGTCAAGGAATTCCGCGCTCGTAACGATGCCGTTGTCTTTGAAGCCTACGGACACCTGAAGGGCCCTTCCAAATTGCACAACTTGACAGCTTCTGTAAGTTCACGGTGTCTAACCGGTTTTGTACCGCTGAAAAAAAAAAAAATCATTCTCATTCCTTTACTTTACTTTTATAGACGCTGCGCGGTAAGGATAAGGTTGTCGTCCCTCCTCTTGTCTTCTATACCAACGATCGCAAGGAAGTCACCATCATCGTTCACTTGGGTCGATCCTTGTGCGGCCACGATAAGATTGTTCACGGTGGTATGCTTGCCACTTTGCTCGATGAGGCTCTTGCCTGTGTCGCTATCCCCGCCTTGCCCTTCAATATGGGGTTCACCGCTAACCTTAACATTGATTACCGACTTCCCGTCAAGGCTGATCAGTGGGTTGTTTTGCGCGGTAAGCTCAACAACTTGGAAGGACGAAAGGCTTGGGTTGAAGCTTGGATCGAAAGTGTGGATGGACAACAAAAGTTCACCGAAGCCAAATCATTGTACATTGCTCCCAAGGCCCCTTTCTAGATTAATTTATTGTTACAGTTTATACATATAAATAATTAAAGTATTCCAACTCATTCTATTCAATTAGCACATGTGTCTTCACTGCCGTTATGAGTAGAGGACTAGTCGATATGTGCAGGTATATAGTATGTCATCATGGTGGGTTCAGTACGATAATTGCTGGCATGATCCAGAAACGATTCAAAGTGAATAGCAACATGCAATGTGATATGGCGTTCGTCATGGATAGCTGGGAAATGGTTATAAGTAAATGTGGCCCACTCCTGAATTCCTCCCCTGTATACTTTACTTACCGCAAACCACATTTCCAGGGCTTAGGTGGTAGCAATTCAAAAAGTTGACTAGATCTTCTATTGGTATTCGAGCGGATGCAAACATGTCGCGGGATCGATCCGGATACGCCTGCAGAATACCAGGGCCATCCGCTGGAAAAAAGAAATGAACATGTTACTGGATATGTCCACTCATGACGCTCTATCCACGTACCTAAACTTACCGATACTTGGATTCTCTAATTGATTGTACTGTTTCTCCATAGTCACAAGCTCTGTGTCTACCCGCCACCGGAATTCACCAGCCATGTTGGCCGACAATGTTATATAGCGCGTTTGTGATTTGAGGAGGTTAATATCGCCTCGAAGGGATAAGAGATTTGGAAGAAGGATAGCAGCCTATAAAGGGTGATGAGTAATAGCCCTGGGCAATTGTTCGGATACAAGACAATCACCTCTGGCACACGGTTATCGAGGGGTTCGCGAATGGTGGCTCGCGCATTGGTTGGTATTCTTCTGACGGGGATTTCAAAAGTCAACGCTATATCGCGTGCTTGCTGGTTCTACACACCGCAATTTACAGTGAGTTTTCTAAGTCACATAGCAAACGACAAAATGTCAATCATGAATACGCCAGCTTACATCGTTCCCCATGACAAACTCCAGGTACGCTTGGTGTCGAGAATCCCCACTGGCGCTTGGCTTTTTGATCAGCTGTAAACTGACGTTGTGAAATTCTTGAGCTGCTCTCATGGCCTGCGCTAAGTCCTCCAGCCTTAAATCAAGTGGTATTTCGGAGCCTTGTAAAGCGCTGGAGATGCGAAAGCTTGAAAACAAGGTTCCCTGAGGTATGGTCCTAGTGGTGTGAACAGAATGAGCATACGAGATCGCACCTGTCAGCACGCGCGGTATGCAACTTACACCCAAACCTGCATTCCACCAGCTTGTGCTTCCCACTTGACGATCTGCAAAGAATTCGGGCTGAATATCAGCGTCAAGGAGCTGCCCATTCGTTCGAGCGCCTGTGCCAGCTCTGACAGCTTGTCGTCAGAATGGATCGGAAAGTGGGTTTGAATAAAAGGCACCTGACAGGACCACTCACTGTAAAGTCCAAGGGTATTGATGACTTGACATTTCATTCTCATACGCGTGTTTTCTGATTGTCGCGGGCGCGCATGATCAGAGGAATGAGCATTGAACATGGTCGAGACTGAGCGAGCACGGTGTCAAAGGTTTCTCTTTTTTTTTTTTAATTTGGCCAGACAGGATATGCCATCGTTGTGACCGCGACGCGACCAAAATTCCCGCAATTTACACTGATATTCTTCCAGGAAGACAAAGGTACAATCTATTGAGAGGGTGTATTACCTAGTTCACATAGGTAGAAATAAAGATGAGGAGAAAAAAAAAAGTACACTTCTTTGTCTCCACCCCTGATATGTTGAGATGAATGGAGTGGGGAGGAGAGCAGCATGTGGTTTAAAAAAGAGTTTTACATTTACACGAGATAGGCATGGTCAGTAAAACATATCGCCCAGCCTAACAACAAAGAAAAGCAACGTGGAAAAAAAAAATAAAAAATATAAGAAAGCAAAAATAACAAATGGACGGTATGGCGTCTTGAAAGTGTATGTGTTTAGAATGGTGATGATGATGCCAAACGATGGTATGGATCGCCTAGACCCCCACTTTATGCCAATCCCTTGATAGCAGCACGGAAAGCTCTGTTCTTGCGGCATTCGTTGCGTAGGTTATCCGCTCGAGGGCTGTCCCATTCTCCGGCTGTGATGAACATACGCGCATATCTTAGGCACACTTCTTCTCTGAAGCTGTCATACAATTTGCGGTTATAGTTACGCTATGAGAAACAGGTTAATTTAGTACAGCACACTTCAGTGGGCCAAATATGTTTCCAACGTTCAACTCACCTCCTTGGCTCTTTCGCTCTCGGGATAGTAATGGGTTTGGTGAATCAAAAAGTCGTGGGGTAGGACTTCATATTCGATTCCACTGAGGTATATTTCATATAAGCAAGCGGCCTTGTTGGCTCCATATCCGATGAATCGTTCATCACACCAAGGAGATCCTTCCTTCTTGTAGATGACATAGGGTTCGTACGAGAAATTATAGTCGGTGACCAAATAGACCGAGTCTGATTCATACCACTTTGTATAGTTTGTTGAACCGTGGCCTTTCTTCCATCCTCGATGGAACATATCGATCTTGCCTTCTTCAACAATTTCAAGCAAATCATGCTTGGAAGTGGGGAAAGTCTTCCAGTCCAAGCCATCGGGCTGTTCCACGAATTCAAACGCAGGAATAACCAATGCAGTGTTACCAGACCGAAGCTTCTCCATAATGGCGGGGTTTTCACGGATAGATTGTCGGAAGTCGGTACAAATATGAAAATCAACATCTAAATACACAAAGTCCCGGGTTAGTCATGAGCGTCGCTATGGGAGACGATGGTGAGCGCATACCTAACATAACAATGTAGTCGGTTCTAGCAAAGAATTTTGCCACGTTTCTCCACATGTTGAACTGTCTGTCAAACTTGTCCACAATCAAATGCAAATCCACGTATTCCTTCATCAGAGAGTTCGTTCGGTATAATTCATGAAGCTCTGCCAAAATTTCTTCATGCGATTCATCGTCCTGAATATGAATGGCTACTGATATAGGACCTGCGGCATGAAAGTTAGAACCAATCCTCCCTTTTGACAACTCAGCCTACACGTGGGGTTAGATGTCTTACCTTGATAGTGCGTAACAAGTCTGGAAAGAACAGGAAAGCGATCTCGTGTGACCAGAGTTGCGATAGTGATATCTTCGGAATCCAACGGAGTCTTTGCCTTGAAATAATAGGGTATCACTTTAGAAGGTCCCATAGCGTCTGAGAAGACCTTGGACAGCATGAAGTTCTCGGACATATTTTGATCGACGCCTGAGATATATGAGGAACAATTTAATTTTAAGCTTTCATTTTGCATTATTGCCACCCACCCCCAAGCTTTACTAACCTTGTTCATTGACCCAAACAATTTGCTTTTCCAGCCGTGTGTCCTTCTTCGCTTCTATGGGATGTTCGGAAATGGGAGTGGCATCTCTTTGCAGAGATGCAACGTGCACAGTATTGTCATTGGAGGAGGGTGAGTAGGTCGTGTACAGATGGCGCGCGGTGTATATAAGAGATGTAGTGACATAGATGATAAAGATGTACTTGACAGCCTTTGAAAGGGATTGGGAGATCTCTGCTCTCATCTTGGATAAGATTGCTGAAAATAGTGAGGAGAGAAATAGTATGAGCCCGCGTTCACAGTGAAAGCTAGGGTGGACAGGGTTTTTTTTGGGTAAGGAGAGTACGGCTTGCTTGATACGACACCAAGCTGAGAAGGGGTTTCTGTAAGGAAAGGAGAGCCTTCACGTCAACAGCGAGAAATGGTAATAAGAAAGAAAAATAAATTTGCTACAGAGTCATTTGGGCAATATTTTTTTTTTATATATATTAGCTGGTTTTCTCTACAGGTGGTACAAAAAGAAGTGTGCCATGAAATAAAGGTAATCGCCCACTATATTTTTTCAAACAAAGCTATATTGTTCAGTGCGCACTTCAGCCTGGTTCAGAGACTTTGACATAGCATCTATTCAGACGGTGATGAGAAGGCCAAGACCAAGGAATACATCATCCCAACATACACATTCGGGAACTTGAAATCCTTTACCCGTAGCCACTTATCCACTCCTGTTATGCAAAATAGCTGAGAGATGCTCAAAAATTTTCTGGGCTGGCGATTTTGCGCGACCTCAAAAACTATGTCTTGGCAGGTGGAAGTACAAGCGTCGCACAGTCGATGGCCAGGAATATCACAAATCTGTTGCTTGAATGATAGCAGAAGAACGTCACTGATCCAGTCATGCTCCAACTATATGACATTCAGATCAACTCGACACGTACTTGATGTGACTCTGGCCATTCGTTATACTTGTATCGTGTAATAAAAACGCACTGATGTTTTAGCCAGGTTTATGGTCACCGACTGCTTTGCTTGAATCTAATCCATGACTGTGCTGTCAATGATCTGTAGCGAGGAATGGATGAAATGTCAGCTACATGACGGCCGACCACAGGAACCTTGTAGGCATAACCAACGTGTCAAGATCTGATGGCGTCAACTCTCCATAAATGGATGTCAATATTCACACTGTTTTGCATTGAACGGTGCTTGCCGATCAAACAAACGCGGCTCAGCGAGTATTTTTAAATATACGCAAAAAGGACACAATAGACTGCCGACATTAATGGCGTCGTCTGCAATGGAATTAACGGCTCGGAGCTAATGAGCGGAGCTGATGGTATCACCCAATTATCAGAAAAAACGAGAGTTGTTGATGCTGCATCTTTGTTTATATATAAGATCGCTATCAAAAGATGGGGAAAAGAAGCGAGTTGCTTACGGTTCATCGAGCAGAGTCATGCCATTCATCGGCCAAAGACATCAAGATAAAAAAAAAAGGTAATAATAGAAAAAAGGGGAATTCAAACTCTGCCAAACACCGACGGCTAAAAAAAAAATAATCGAAAAAGGGTGTACTGAATGAAAAGAAAATAGCAGCATTTTGTCGCCCTCAAAACAATGACAACGGTGCGTTAAGCGAGTTGCTCATAGTGGCCATACACCAAATCATATCCCTCAAAAGTGTAGAGAATTCGGTCGGTTCTCTTGTAGCCATCGACGTTAGCCAAGGAGTGAACCATCTTGCTGTGACTATGATGGTAATGACCATCATCCTTATGGCCGTTTTCCATGGTCATACCGTCGAATCTATCATCTTCATCATGAATACGAAGTCCGTCACGGTGGATCAATGGACTGGGCTTGTTGTTTCTGGGGTGAGAAGAAAACAAGGTGACAGTGAAGTTGCCTGGTTGGAAGACACTGAGGACTTGACGAATGAGAGATTGAAGAGGGGCTCGAGATTGGCTCTTGGTAATAGCAGACTTGACCAGAGATGATCCGTTGCTGGCAGCCTTTGCTGGGTGAGAAACCTCACAGGGGATATTGGTCTCGAAGGACGCATAAGAGCATTGGGGTTCAGGGGTGACGTGGATGGTGAAATAGGCGCCTTCCCACAACCCATTGGCCGAATAGCCACAGGGTTCAAATAAAAAGGAGTCCAACTTGGCGGTAGGGTAAATGTTGCCTATGCCTGTGGTGTCATCCACCCGCTTTCCGCCCGCGATACCAGTTGGTTCATCGTTCATTTGATAAAACAACTTCATAGCTTCAGGGTTAAGGTCAGTCATGAGGATTTCCACCGTTTGATCCTGCTGTGGATATCCGGAATTGCCAAAGGGAGAGGGATCACTTTCCGTATCCGAGGTAGCCGGGGTCGATGTTCCACTTTCATATCTTTGGTGATTGGGAGTGACAGTTCCAGATTCAACGGTATCATCATCGTCGTTGTTGTTGCTATCATGAGCAAGAACATCATCGGCGGGTGATGTGAGGTACAAATACCAATGGTTCTTTGCATTGGTTCCGATTCTGTAGGCAGATCCATTCTCTAATAGGTGAAAATTGTATTAATATGGATGAAACCTACATCATGGACCCCCCCCCATCTTAAGGTCTTTGATCCAAGACCGGGCCAAGTAACACCCTACAAAGCCTGCCTATTCACACCACGCATTCTCTTCACTTACCAAAGTGAGTGTCTAGATAGCTGACTTCATCATGCCATGAACGGTGAGGGCCGCATTGACGATCAGGGAACATGAAAGATTTGCGAGAGTAGAACACACGCCAAACCTTTTCGAAACCGCAAAGATCTTTGGCCAATTCCAAAATGCGAGGCAGAGCCATCAGCAAGGTGGTTGTGCCGCAAGTCTTGAGGATCAACTTGTGGGGATAAACAAACATGGACGATTCACTGGTGTAGCACAAAATGATATTTTTTTAGTACACATTGTTTCAACCCGCGCAGTGACCCATTAAAAAAAACAAATCTTTCTTACCTGAGCAAGTACGCATCGACATGTTCATTCTTGATGACGTTGAGCACAGTGCACTTCACAATGGCGAGCATATCATCCCAGACATTCTTGGAAATCGTACGCAATCCCATCTCATAGGCATTGTATTTACCGTGTTCACGGCGAATAGGCTCAGGACTGAACCTGCTCGAGTCACCATCCTCACTAAGGTCACTGCTGGATTTGGTGGGGGAGTGCGGAGCTGAATCATCGGAAAGTTCATACTCGGATTCATCATAGTGACCGAGTTTTTGGTGACGAGCCAAATGATAAGGAGAAGGAGAAAACCAGATCTCCAATAGTTTCTCAGGGCCTTCAAAGCAGCCGGCCTGAGCTGAGTAGTTGTCGCCTTGGATAGGTGGAACAGACGGAGGGACAATGTTATCGAACATGTGTTAGAGTGTTGGTGAACAGTGGCTTAGAGCTAAAAAAAATTTAGGTGGAACTTTTTTTGTTGTGGAGTCGGTGGAGGTCGACTGTGGTTGTAGAGAGGGGGGATGGTAAATAGATGCGCAGCGATATCACGTAGATAGTTCGGGTGCTGCCTGAGATCGGATGGGTTTGCGTATATAGTTTTTCTTGGTTTCTTTTTTTTTTTCTATGACGTTTTTCTTTTTTCGTGGTTAGAGCGAGGTCCGCTAATACTTAAGTTGCTTGGGAGTAGAGATGCTATCGCCAAAAGTTGGAGAAGTGGAGCCGGAATGGAAGACTAATCAAAAATCGAACTAGGTTGTTCTTTTGAGAGCCTGATCGCATAGCAGGGTTATAAAGGTCTTGTTCTTAGGTTGATTCTTGTTGTTTAGGAATTCTAGAACAACAAGGCAAGAAGCGGTTTCTCGAGATGGGATGTTAAAAGTGCAAGATTGGATTGGCAAAAGCCATTCGCAGTTGAAGTGCTAGAGGGGATGCTTAAGCCTGTAGGCAAGGCAAAAACGAAGAGGATGAAAGAAGTGGTGGAAGGATTCACACAAAAAAAATTTATCGCTGGGTTTTCACTTTCCCATTTTTTTTTTAGATTTCCGCTTATGTCCGATTGGGCAAATATTCTCAGCTTTCCCAAAAGGTACAGCAATAGAAGAAAAATCTAGTGGTTATTTTATTCGCTTTCTTTAACGATGTTATGATGAACTGGAGGTACCCGAGACACATCCTTTTCGCTAAGAACCTTCTTCTCCAACGGCTCAAACGCCCGGTCGACAATATGTTCCACAACCTCGTCATACATATAAGGGAGAAGCGGCAAAATCGCCAGACCGGTGGCAGTTGGTCCCCATCTGCATATGGCAATTGTATCACATGTGGTCAGTCTTCTCGAATATCGTGTTCTAGCCCGCACGTATAACACTTACGTCTTAATCTTGGTATTTTTCATATTGTTGAATACATGCTTGGCGCTGTATTTGACTGCGGTGTGGATGGTAGCCATGGGCAATAGCATGGAAGCAAAGGTCTGGAAGATACCGCGTTTGAAAGCAGCCACACCGACGACAGCATTGTCCTACGAAGGAGCAGGGAAGAATGAGCATGGCCGTCCTTTGGAATCACCACACACTTCTGTTTTATAATTTACTTACATTGCCAGCCTTGTGAGTCTTGTATCCTTCATAAGCAACATCCAATCCGACATAGGCCCAGCTGATACCATAGGCAGCACGAACCATCAAGGGATGCACAATGGGTCTGAATGCCTCACCAACATCACTGCTGTAAGCCAAGTAACGAGTTGAAGCTCGAATGGCGGTTCGCAAACGAGCACCGTAAGCCAACCAGCGAGCATTGGTGTCAACTGAATCAACTTGTCCGTCTACAATTTCTTCGGTATACGATTTCTGACGTTGAATAGGTGCAGGATTTGGCCCGGGAGCCACAACTTTCTCTTGCTTGCTGTTATCGACGGATCCTGCCATGGTAATGAAGAGAGGGAGAAATTAAAACAAAATGCTACAATTCGACTGCCCAGTCTCGGTGATATCAGGAATCGAGCAAGGTACAGAAAGCAGTCACCAGTTTGAGTCAAATCGAAGGCAGACGGTACTTTGAGACCCGAGAGGAAAAATGCTGAATGTCACCTGACCGGGCTTTGGAGAACAATCATTGGCACGGAACCCAATCCAAATTTCTCTATCGCAAAAAAATCTAACACGGCTGCGTACACAAAATGCGATCATTGGTCAAGAACTGTAACAGGTCAAACATCATTTAATACATGGAGATTTGCAAGAGTCCGAAAATTGACCAAAAAGCTATGGAAGCGAAAGAAAGATTTGTATCAAAGTGTATGGGAAACGAGAAATAGAAATGGGGGAAATGGAAGCTCGGTATCAAGGTGCGGATCACCGAGACCAACGACATCGAAGCAAAAGCCCCAGAGTCATTTTAATTTAACAATGATAATTAAAAAATATCACAAAAGTGTGCGCATTTCTAAATTAGTCCGTGTGGACGATAGTCTTCTAACATGCAAAAACAGATAACTCCTACGCGACGGAAGCATCCAAGGGCTTGCTCGCTTGACAGCATAGCTCATACTTGTGATTACTTGATAATGCCTTTTGTCTTAGTCTGTGGTCACTACTTCAAAAGGCATCCTCGTCTCAAAGTGAATTCAATGGGTTCTTTGTCCATAGCTGCGCTGTATGAGAGAGGCTGTAACATTACCTTCATCACTTGATAGAGTTTACATGTCGAAGCATGGTCGTTCGCAAATGTACCTGTGTGATACGGCAAAGGGAGCACAAGGAAACAGCACGTACTATGAAGTACAACATCGTTCGCATACTCAAATTCACTTTAACAGAGTGAACAAGGCTACTTTCATCGAATCCCACTAAATAATAATAAAGTCTACTGTTCTGTTACGGTCGTCTCTTAGCATTAACATACACAGATTATACATCAAGTCAAATATAGGAATAAAGATATGAGTTTTTTTATTATCTTTTGTCACGTCAGTAAAATTTGTATAGACACATGTAACAGCGCCAGCACGTTGGTGGTGCCGGAGTGGATAATTATGCCATTACAAAATTATTTTTTTCAATTATACAACAGTGAATCGCCAATGAGCCAAAATTAGGCTTGGCACAACGATAACTCGTGCGTCAAGCTTTGATATAGAATATGCCATCATTGTAGCTGATCCTCAATGGTTTCAAATGCAGCTCATGCGTTAGGCATGAGATGAAGTGGTCGTTTTGAGACTCGATTGTGTGATGGAGGAGGAGGTATTACAGAGTTTCGAACCAAAGATGATTGCCGGTTTAGCATATATAAAGTGCTGGGTCGTTGAACTTCGGGATACGGCTCTGCCATGGTAGGAACGGGTGGTGCTTTTTCAGGGGCAACAGCAGATTGTGGACTGATGGCTATACAGCTAGTGAACCAGGATAACATTTTGGAAGAAGTGTGAAAGAATCAAAAAGGCACTTTAAGGACAATGGCAGCGACTCTCCTTTTTATTGTGCTCAAAACCGTACGAGTTAAAAACAAAAATAGAAACACAAAGCCAAGACCCGATCCTCCGAAAACCCCAGCCCAACTGTTTTCAGTTGCTTTGGATGACAAAATTAAAACATCGCAAGGTGTTTAGTGCTGTTCGCAGCAAATCGCAGCTCGTTATCCTTAAAAGATCGAATCTACACGAAAGTAGAAGGTGATGTACATCATCCTTAATGCGATACCCTTTATCTTTTTTGGAAATGAAAACTTGTATCTTTATGAAGATAGTCGTCACCGGCCTATTATTGTATTTGGTATCGGTAGAATCTATTTACTTCAAAAGAACTTTGAACGATGTTTTCCTGATTTAAATAGCAAGCAAAGAACATCAGTGGAAACACGAGATGCTGACATATAATACTTTTATGTTGTTGGGTTTAGTTTCAAGGATTAATCATAGCTACTTGGGATCACCATGTATATGACGTAGTATAACACCGTCTACGGAGGATGCGCGTATGGAAATGCAAAATACAGTCTTTCTCAAAATAATTGGCGCACATCCTCTGATTTGTATACGCAAACTTTAGCAATATTTTTTCAAGGTATCCTTATATGCGAATTCAGGTTTTTATAGAAAATTGAATATACGGACTATGAGCCCTTACATAGTGGGCATATAACATGGAAAACAGTCATATCGCATTTATTGCAGGCGAAAACATGATCTTGTGTGAAGCTGATAACTCTACCTCTACAGAGTCCACCATGCAAAATGAGGAGACTATGATGGAAAAACCAAGTCAACCGATGGATATCGAGGAGGAAGGCGGAAATGACGATGACGTTCCGGTACCGTTGAGAACTCTGATGGATAATGATATGGTGGGACCGGACCACACGCTATCCACAGAATCGGCTTCACCCATAGCAATCGACGAAACTCGACAGAAAGGCACCAATCACGAAAGATAAGAGGGCCATATAGACGACACACTGGACATCAGGTTGAACAATTATTTGATTACGTGATTGAGCAGGGTAAGACTGCCAAGGAGGCTGCGCTCTTGACTGGAATTAACGTTAGGACAGCGCAACACTACATCAGACATACAATGACGAACGACGATTACCGATAAGCGGTAGAAAGCCAGGAGCTGGTCGTAAGCCTAAGTTGACAGACGACCATTCGCAATTTCTGATATGTTATGCCCCGACAGCTATATTGTTGGATATTAGAAGAGTACTCTGTGCGGCGTTTCCAGAAGTATCTATATCAACATCCGCGTTGCATAGACACTTGGTTGAAAAATGTAAGTTGACTCTGGAAAAAATAGCATCTCAACGTATCAATCAGTTAGTGCTTGTTACAGATCTGGACCGATATCAATCATACGCCAACGCTCACTCAAGAAGTCATTACCGATCAGTAGTGGGACGAAGCCATCTCAATACCTATTCAGGCAGTCCCCACTACGTCTGAGGCTTATGGCACAGATATTGAAACTCGTGGACAAGAAGAAGAAGAAGAAGAAGAAGAAGAAAATACATGCTTGGATTGACAATCCGATGAAAGTGACGCTGATGAAGACGAGGAAGACCATGTCCTCACTGAAGCGGAGCAGCGGGTGGCAACAGCTGGAGAGAGGTTAGCAGGCAGCATATAGAAAATAATGCATCGTCGGGTATCATCACGTCACATAGACGATCGTTGGGTTTTCTCCTTCTTGTCACTTCTACACGAGGCAGGAGAAAACATCGACTGAATAGCCGACTACTGAAGGAAAAAAGGTCTATTGCTGCCATCATAAATTACATGAATTGAGCGAGCACTATTGGATTGCCGGCGTTTCCAGTTATTTCCCGAATACAAGATGGTAACCAAATACTTTAAGCTGCATGAAGTCATTTTCAAGCACCTTTGTCGACCGCGAGTTGCTACAGTGTTCGGAGTAGATACCAAAGGCAACATACCCTCAGAACAACAAGGTATATGGGAAGAAGTATTCCACTTTGACAAGATTGGCATCAGGTATGCAGTATACTATTTTATTATAATATATATTGGTGCAAAGTCTTACGAAATATTCTTTCTGTAGCAACATGACAGAACATGTTAGTATTTCCACTGATGGCTATGGCTGTTGTGTGACCATTGGCGGGGGCCGTAGCCCACCAGCTGAACCTGACGAGGATGATGAGAGCAGTGCTGGAGAAGGAACATCAAGTGCCGTTCCTCGAAAACGCAAAAGGAAGCAAAGGAAGAAGCGGCGTAAGAATGAAAAGAAGGAAATTTTCCGCTGGAAATGGTAACGCCAGAAAGTCTTTCTGTTATCCTGGCTGCTACCAGCCTCATCGGTGTGGATCCAGGTTTAATGCGTACACTTCATACTTTAGACTATTGGAAGAACGCCAGACTGATCCTTCTTGTAGGTAACGTAGAATATCAAGGTATTTGGGGTATTCCATTCTTGAGTTTTTCTAAATGATTAATTACTAATGAGTTTTATTTTTGTTGGGTTTGTTGATTTTCTTCTGTTTTGTACTGACTTTTTTCTTTGGCTATGAGTTAACTGCCTTCTATTAGTAGTCCCTTCGGCGCGGGTTGGGGTGCTTCCGGATTTTTACGTCTTTACTAACGGTCGATGTTTTTACACCAGGTAATCGGGTTCTCTTGCGTAGAACCATGGAAGTGCGACGGTCTGTCCACAAATGATTGAAATCTAGCGTCTGCTTGCATGTTGCGCGGCACAGTGTTTACAATTTTTACCTTGAAAATAAATATGTGTTACCCCCTGGTAGCTTCACCAAAATGATACGTGTGCGGCGCAAAGAGTTAAGAAACAAGAGATCCTCTATTCAATCAAAGTAAAGAAGCGGTATTTATAGTCATCTGCGGCGTCTCATGTCCCTCCCCTAAGTGTCGACTTCCTCTCCCGTACGTTGATCCAAAAGAACTTTCTGTCGAAATGCCAACAACTGTTTTTTCGCCTGCCTCGCAGTCAATACGTCAGGGACCATACCAACACGTTCCACCCATGGCTTCATGAAGTCGCCATTCACGGCTCCAGCAAGTCGACTTCCAAAAGGTCCAGCCAGGTGGTAAGTGCCGTTACGGTTGATTCTTGTCACGGTCAATGGATCTATCCACTTAGCTTCGAGCTTGCCCGCATGTACATGGTCGCGCATCAACACTGCATCGCCCAGATTAAAGGTCTTCGAGAACACATCGCGGTCGTATCTCGACTTGACTTTCTCTTTCGCTCGTCCTCTTGAGCTTGGACTGATCGTCACAGCTCTTGCATAGCATGGTCGATCACCTTGATCCTCGAGACAAGTTCTTCGCCAATATCACCTTCGACGTAATCTTGGCGCGGCGCTGGCCATGTAGCTGGAGTGCGGATTTCGTATCCGTACATCAACTTCGCAGGAGTGTGTCCGGAAACATCACTCGGCATAGCCCGGATAACTAACAACGCTTGGTTGACGTAGTTATCCCAGTTACTAGTATCCTCTCGTTGGAGACAGATCTTGGACAATGCCTGCACTAGGGTCTGGTTTAACCTTTCGCACAAACCATTGACTTGAGGACGGTAAGCCGTGGTGGTCAGGTGCTTACACTGCACTGTGTTCAAGAAATCTTTCACAAATCCTGAAGTGAAGTTGGATCCACCGTCGGCGAGCAGGTACTGGGGTAATGTCCATGGGTCCGACGGCATCGAAACCTACCATATAGAGCGATTGATCAGGTGTAGGGATTGGGTGCGCAGGGTTCTGCCTCAGATATCTCCTGCGACTCCTCCGTTGGCAGATTGGACAAGATTGCGCCAATTGCTTCATTCTTTCATACATTCTTGGAGCTATGTACTGAAGCCTAGCTTTACGCCAACTGTTCTTGATTCCTAAAAGGCCGTCCTGGTGAACACCGTCTAAGATTTCTTCCACGTTTCCCTCAAGCAACATCTTCGGTCCTAGTCCTTCTTCTATCCTTAGGTATAAGTAGCCATCTTTCTCTTCATATTTCTGCGACATCTGATGCAACTTGGTGCGCCACTGGGGCGTGCATCCTTCAGGTAGATATGCTTTCGAAAGGAAAGAACAAGGCGTCCGAGAGCGCTCTCAAACCGCTGGTTCAGTTGTCAACTTTACGTCGCGACCATTATGATGAATGGGTCACCTATGTTCACCAGTACATGCTGAGACGCCGCATAATATTTATGTCAGTGACTTCCCCTCTTACGCGGAGTTCAAGATCACTCATAGTCTAATTGACTATAAATACCGCTTCTTTACTTTGATTGAATAGAGGATCTCTTGTTTCTTAACTCTTTGCGCCGCACACGTATCAGAAGTACTTCATTCATGGTCAAAACTACCTTTCTATTGCAGATGGCGGCGCAGTAGACAGATAAGGATTGAGAGCGCTATGGCTGGCATAAAAACGCAAATTCTTAGCTCACACTCAAGACTTCCACCAATAAAACCTGTGGCAGCAACTGGTCCAGCAATTGAAAGACCAATCTATCAAGAACAAGATGTACCAAAGGTCTTTGCATGGGGCAGCGGCAACGTCGGCAACAGGAAAGGATCCCCTCCCATGCCAAACAAAGGCTTGTCTAAGTACGTGGCTCAATTTTGTCATGTTGTCAAGGTGCCAGAATTTAGAACTAGTATCACCTGCCCCTGCGACAATCGCACCGTTGAACACCATGTCTCAAGGCATTCTATGGTTTGTGAGCACTTCAAGCGCAAGAAGTGGTAACTTTGAATATCTACACCCTTTCCGAAATGTCCAGATTTGCGAGAAGAGTTGAATCTCCGCGTTATAAGCAAGATTATTCGAGCAGTGCGAGAAACGTGAAAGTCTAAACCAAACACAACAAATTTAAGCATATAATCTCTACAACAGATTAGGACCCCCACTGCGCTGAGCGATACGCAAACAGTTCCCTTCGCAATTATGAGCTTCCGTGGACCCAGTATCTGCCAACGTCGAATTTTCGATCATCTACCGTTATGGCAATAAAGATGTGATGGCTGCATTCAACCTGCGCCGCATCGTTCATCACTACGCAACAACTGGTGCTCGTCCAGCGTGGAACTTGCCAGATAGGCACAGGGTGCTATGAAATCCCCATGCGTTCGTAACGAACGATACTCGAAAGAGGCAAGTAAAAAGTATCTAAAGTATCTAACGCAATATCCAACGCAAAATGATCATTCTATCTAACGCAAATTATCATTTCATCTTCCGTAAACAGTCCTTCAGAATGCGATATCCCGAGCCTTTGAAAACAAACTAAGGGAATCTATGTTTGGTGTGGCAAAACAATTTGCTCTAAAGAAATCAGGAACGAAGAATCAGGAGAAGTTATACGAAAAACTGTCCAAGCTGAAATAAGAACTACTTTCCAGTCGTCGGATATGGCACGGATTCTTCAATGAAGTTGATTTGGATAGAGGTTTTACGGATGGTGCTTCATATGCAACAGTCGGTCCAAAACATAGTGTTATTAATTAGTGGAATTTGTAGTCAAACAATAAATCCTATTTCAAGGACGATTTGGCTGGGCAATGACTGTGTAAGCCTTACAGATGGTGGCGGGATCCATCGCAAAACATATCTTTTTGGGCCGGCTGGGCACGGAGGCTTTGCCATCCAACATATGGTTACAAAAAAATGTTTTATGATGCTACGTTGTCACTTTGTCAGGGGTATAGGTACATTTTTCATGGTTGATTACAAGAGATAATTTACAATTCTATTAGGTGACATCTGTCTCATTTCGGAGCAAGTCTGAGATAAATGAACGGTTTAGAATAAGAACAATTCAAGGAAAGCAAAGAAAAGGAAAGAAAAGTCTCACCTGACCAAACACTAGTGTTGAAGTTGTCTACCAACATGTCAGCTTCACTATCATGAGAATATGAACTGCCTTCTTGGCTTGCTATATAGGATGCGGGTGATGACGGTGTGAGTGGCCCATCATGGCGAACCGATGGGCTATGCATACCAGCGTTTTCACTATAGGGACTGCCTGCGGTGGTCGTTGACCAATGGAAATTTGGGGATAGTGGCGCGTTATCGTACGATCCACTGCCAGGGGAAACTGGGTAGGGTGAAAGAGATGCCGAGTCTCCATAACTGGTTTGGTTATCAAGCATGTCGCTGTTGATAACAATCTTGGGGATGATGGGTTTCTCGACGGAGGCTTGTGCAAGTAGTTTGGATACCTCATTCGGGAAGTTGCTATCGTTAGGCTGAAGGATACTGAGACGTCGAATTTCCTCTTCGTTGGCCTTTGCCCAAAGTTTACGAAGATATCGTTTCCTTTCTGCTAAGGTCAAGAAATATCCTCTCACTTTTTCAATCGCGTAGTTTCTCTCAATTTTCTCTAACTTTTCGAGCCGGTCGAGTAGTCGATCAAGTCTACAAGCAAAGATTGTCAACAAATGTATTTTCACGGCACTTACTATCACCGGATATACTCACGTTAGAAACTCTTGCGGATCAATGAAACGATACGCCATGACTAGCAATGCGCTGTCGAACGATATTCCTTTCGAAGTTTGTGTCCATAAAAGCTCCTGTAAGGAAGTTTAGCTACTTTTGTACACTGTAGCTTTGCAGAGTGGTTGGTTAAATCTTACGGTGTATAGCAAATTGTACTGTTTGCGCCTGCGTTCTGTTGCCTTCAAGTCCAAAAGAGAAAGTCTAGCATTGACTTCATCGTAGCGGTAGCGAAGTTCCATCAGTTCTGGATTAGTATATAGTGATGTAGCTTTCTCATCACCAATGTCGTCGAATTCTTTCTTTGCCAGGGCCTGAAGGTCTTGCAAGCTAAAGCCTTCAGAATAAATACGCAAATCAAAGCGTCCGTGCAAGTGCTAAAATAAATAGAAGTCAGTATGAGGCGCTAGAGATGTTAGTGGCAGTTCAAAGCACACATACTCGAAACAATGCGGCTATCTTGGTTTTCGATATATAGCCTGTTCCTTTGGGATCGACCTCAGCCCACGCTTGCTTGAACCTAAAACGAGTGTCAGAAGAGGGTACGAAAAAAATAGCTGCTTTAAAGAGATAGGTCACATACTTCTGAAGATCAGTTTTCGTAATCAGCGTAAACCGAGCTGTGTGTTCGTATGCATATTGGAAGTTGCTTATGATGACCTGTTGCTGTCATTAGTACCATGTATGAGAAATCATATTCGTCAATTCAGTATACATACCACAGTGAACAAATTGAGAAAAATGTGCGTGCAGATAATGTAAAAGACAATAAATAGAAGGTATGCCCATGCTGGGCTACCACAATCACTGTCCAAAAAGTCCGCAGAGTCCGCTGATACGCAGTTAGGTGCCGATACAGTGAAATCGTGCATCAAGAAATCCTGTCATTTTGAAGGTCAGTATTGGGTGCTGCAGAAAGGGTTGCGTTTATTAGAGATGCTGTAAATGCTTACCCAATTTTCACCAGTTGTCATGCGGACCAGTGTAAGTAGCGAGTTGCCATACGATCTAAAGTTGGCATGGTCGGTTCCATATGGCCCGTACTTGGTCAGTCCAAAGAACTCCATAAACAGCATAGCAAATAAACACATCACCATCATGAAGATGGCAGAAACGTTCAAAATCGACGGCAAAGAAGCTTGCACTGCATGGAACAAGGTCTGTAACGATGAAAATCCTTGTCCCAGTCTCATCGATACTAAAACAAGCAAGTATTGTTCCAATCGCTGGGTCCAAAGCTATCAAATTCGTGTTAGGTCAAGCGCACTTGGATTTTCTCTATGATTTCTATCACAAAACCTACATTTTCCAACGTGAAGCGTAGAATGCACATTGTAATCGTACAGATCACAATGACACAATCATATCTGTTCCATTTGTTTTGAATCCACTAGAATATATGATAAGCGTATAGTCCTTGAAAGGGTACATGTGTTTGAATATTTACCTTTCTCCACCCTAATCCGATTAGCTTGATCAACACTTCGCACAAATAGCAGAAGATGAATGCAACATAGAGATAGTCTAGATTTCAAGAGAGTTAATGGTTGCCTCTCAGCAGTGGTTCAAGCTATTTCAGATTTACCTTGGACTTGACTCAAGATCACAGGCTCGTCTTGGTACTCGGTACAGATAACGACTATGAAACCCAATTAGAAATTGCTTTCGCTCTCCCATGTTTTTTTTGTGCCATATAGAACTTACCAATATTAAGCATGACAATGGCCACCATAATCTTGTGGAAAAGACCCTGCTTATTGATGACAAGGTCGTAACAAAAGCTTCGTATAGGGTTTGTTGGGCGTACTGGCTTGCGAGTAGGTTTGACTTGAGCCAACTGTCTTCGAAGATCCAAGTACTGGCGCTGGGGAATAGTCAGCGTAGAAATACCATTTCTTTGCTTAAAGTTCTCCAGAATAACCTATATACAGAAAATGGATGTTTCAGTTATAAAGCCGCATTTTTGTAGGAACAGGGTACGAAAGTCAATACTTACACCAACAAAGAGTTGGACAGTGCCATGAGCCGCGACCATAAAGATCACGAAGTATAAACTATGGTACACAGTGCTTGCAGTCCAATCAAATACAGGTTGTACATCAGCCTCGGTTGGTGTGCTCATTGCGCTAAACAGCGTCAAAATCTAGGATGATAACATGTTAGTACATCGATATCGCTCTTGTAAAAGCGTTGGCCTCACTTACCCAGCCTTCAGTAGAAGTCAAATCGAACAAATGAAGTAGTGCACTGGGAAAAGTATCGAAATCGTATCCATACGGATTTGCCCACACACGAGGTATAAGTATGCTCGGAGAGTTCACATCGTCACCTATGGGATTTAGAAATTCCGCATTGCACTCCGATAATCCACCAACACTATTGTCATTGCAAAGGAAGAACCTTCCTCCAAAGATGTTGACAGCGTAGATACAAAACGGAACCAGCACTAACATGGTCAGAATGAGGGCGTCTACCATGAGAGGGAAACCGTGAAGCAGATCAGCAAAGATGTGTCTGACACCGGGAAAATAGCGGATCAAGCGAAGGATACGGAAACTTCGGACGGTACGAAGGGTTCTTGGGACTTGGGAAGCTCCACCGAACACAGTTGCGACAGTGAGAATGACTACGCAGAAGTCCAGTTGATTCCAGGGATCTCGAAGGTACGAATCCGGAACCATAACAAACCCATCGGCGATAATTCTGATAATGATTTCCAGTACAAAGATGGCGGTCAGGGTATAGTCGATGGCGTCATACGCAGAGGGCGAAATGATGTACTGTTGCAATTTCCTGGCCGCCGGTTCGTCTAGAACGACGATGAAGATACTGGCTAGGACGCATGCCATAATGAACCAATTGAAAAGCGATTTTCTTTCTGCTTCATTACCAGAGCTTGATCCGACCAATTGTTTGCACCACCGTCGAAATCTATTGTTAGGCGAAAAGAAGAACAAGGATGGGAGGGTTGGTATATTGTCTTGCTTTGCGCTACGATTCTCTTCAGCTACAACCAGTTCATAGTCGTCAGTTGGCTCGTCTAGAAATTGACTGTTATGCGCAAGATTAGCAAAAGCACTAGAGTAGATAAGTTCATATCTCACTTTACTTACTCTTCCATCTGGCTATATGGATTCTGCGCTGGCGCAAAAAAGTATTCATTGACTTTTTTAGAAATCCAGTTTGAAGGCAATTTCTTCGCATTTTTCATGTCTTTGGTAGCATCCTTGTTTGGAAAGAGGATATCTTGGAACATGGATTTTTGAACGTTCAAATGAAAGTCGCGGGGAAGGTTATCCACGTTAAGTTGTCGCTTCAAGCGATTTTGTTGCAGTGGCTCAAGAATCCTAAAACCAAAACATATTGAGATCTACTTTCTAGTGGTAAGTACAATGTCAGTGATATACATACTTGTCAAGGATTCCTTTTCTAATTTCTGATTCTGGTGGCCTGTGCCGTCTGAAGTAGCTTTTGATTTGTGCTACTCTAATCTTGTCTTCATCGAGTTCAAAATTCTCGAGAATCACAGCAACGAACAAGTTGAGAATAATGTCTGTTCCAATTTCTGCTCGTTAGTATCGTAGCTGTGATGGGCAGCATAGATGGCGCCATATAGGTCAAATATTCAAAACTTACAGTGAGAGAAGCAATATAGGGCGACCGTGAACAAGGCTGCGTATATAGCAGACGCTTCGTATTGACTTTCCATAGCATTATATAGCACATCCTAGAGGATGAAAAGTTAATGTTTGTGACACGATTGAAAAGATATGTGACAGGCACCGATCTAAACAAATAGTTACTTACTGTCCAGTTCTCGCTTGTGAATAACTGCAATATTTGATTGACACATTAGTAAAAGGCGAAGTCAGGCACTGCTTGTAATGGTGTTTAAAAAGAAAAACATACATCAAAAAGACTCAAAAACGCCTGCAAAAAGGTATCAAAGCGCAGTTCGGTTTCGTCATAATCCATGTATCCAAAGTCTCCACCAAACAGCTGCATAGATATAGGTGCAAACAGAGCAGTAGACCACAATAGAAAGAGTCCAACATTAATGACTCCTTCACCTGATCCAATAGCCGATGACAATAGTCGTCTAACACGGGGTAGGCATAATATCAATCGATAAAATCGTAAACATTGAAATATCGTGAGGTACTTGTATGCTGGTGATCCTTGTATCATGGGTAACTGGATGATGCACGTAGCAACAACAAGGAATAAGTCGAAACGGTTACGTCCTGACATCCAGAATTGCACCCAGGTTCGCGAACCCAGTAGACGAAGAAAGATTTCAATAGCGAATATAAAGCTGAATATAATTTCAGCCGTATCTAAAACGCAGGAATTAGCGATTGTTCGAGACGGTTTATCTTGCCATGGTTACATACCGATAGCTTCCAATGTATAGTCAGACGCATATATAGATCGACAAGCCATGATGACCAAATTGCAGAGTACCAAAAGTCCACCAAAATAAGTGAATTTCCAATTGTTCACAATGGAAGAAAGATACTGCTTTGCAACGGCGGTATTGCGTAGCCGAGAAAGATCGGCCTGACCATATGTCCAGAAACTATCGTCGACCTGATCAGCTGGTAGTAGTATGGGATGCGCTATCTTCTTTGCTGTGAATGCCGACATTCTGCTTTCAGATCTGACTTGGGCGAAGGACGTGGTAATAACAGCTATAACCCAGAATTGTACATTAGCAGTTGGGCCTCACAGTCAAACTTGCTGGTTTGATTCACTCACCGATAAACAACGGAATCATAATAAAACTAAGGATATAAACAGCAAAAGTGAAAAATGCCGCCGCTGTTGTGGATTCGCCATCCTGTGCATCGTACATCATATCCGTCCAGCCTTCCAATGACATGACCGTAAACAAATTAAGCAAAGAGAAATAGAGGTTGTCCATATTGAGGAAACCATAGTTCGGATTGGTTCCAGCAACTTGACGGCACACCAAGCCAGTAGGGCATATATATCCATCCGGTCGAGGGTAATCGTATACATCTAACTCTTGTATGTAAATACCAATTAAATTTGGGCCGTCGTAGTAACCGGAGCACATTCGAGCAGGTTCAGCCAAGATCGCTAATGAAATAGGAAATAATGCTTAGTTACAACTGATGGACAGTAGGCTGGAGGGGTACGTTATTCGGTGCAGAAAATACTCACCATTGCCATCCACATCAATTTGATAGCATGCTCTCATGAAGGCACCTTTATAAGTCATCACACCAATGAGAGCAAAAACCAACATGAAGAAGAAGACGAAACCAAACACATTGAACAAAAGCTGTAAGCTTGCTTCCAGCGATTGCATAATGACCTATGAACACAATAGACATTCAATATATGACAGTACGGCGGTGCGTCCTATAATTCTCGTTGTACTTACAGCTGTACCCGGAATGATTCCGACCAAACGAAGCGGACGTGCTGCACCTACTCCTTTGAACAGTGATATGTCATTGTAGTCTATCTTCATTAAGGCCAGATCGATCCAGTAGCACACGATGGAAATGAGATCCAACCAATTACCAAAATTGGTCAAATACGGTCGATGCTTCAGCATTGCCGTAGGTTCATGCTTTGACCCGCCTAAGTCTCCTGTGGGCAATGGGCTGAACATATTACTTGGTAAAGACGTTGGTGTAATCGGGGAAAGTTGATTGTTGGAGTTCTTAGATGACCGGGTTCCGTCCGCTTCCTTTGGTCTAACAAATCCAAAAGTAAAGAAAGTAAGGCATTTCCCTAGTACACTGGCCGGCAGTGATGAACCAAGTGGTATCGTTAAATGCTTTTGTTGTGCGTTATTCGATAGAGTAATCGAGTGAGGAAGAATCAATCCATATACAATGATCTTGGCCATTACTTCCAAACTTTAGTCGGAGGTGATACGGTGGTTAGAAAGAAGATATCAATGGATGCTCAGTCCTTTTAAACTACGTACCTATATACACATTGAATGGCAAGAAGAACATAATGGATATTGGTTCCTCCAAATGAGGTTTTGTCGCTGTTGGTATAAATTGGGGTGGATGCTAATAAGACCCACTGCAGAAAAATTAGAAGGAACACGAAGACTTCGACGTATCTAATAAAAAAAAAAAACACAAAGGGTTGGTCAGTAATGATCATACACTTTCCCATCATGTGCTTGGAGAGTCCACATCAAGTACATACTGCGATCTTAGAAGCTGCCACAAAAAAAGTCGCAGTCGGTTTTGTGTCGAAAAAATGAATAAGGATGTGCCTTCAAGAGGCGAAGGCGTGGGGGTTTGTTTGACTTCCTCTACTTCAACTATATCTGCCTTTTCTGAAAGTGTAGGGAGAGGTTCAGCATTTTTGAAAACATTGTAATTTGGATAATCTTGAATGCTGGGTGACTTTGGATTAGATAGTGAAGCAACCGGTGTCAAGCCATGGTTGAAAATCGAACTATTATCGACGGACGATCGACTGTGTCTAACGCTTGAGGTCTTTGCGTTTGTGTTGATACTGCTTGCATCTGTTGGTTTGACAGAAGGACTGTCCTTCTTGTTGCTATATTGCTGCGCATAATAAGCATCGTCTCCTGTTAAAAGCAGCCAATCCGTAGATGTCCCAAATAGTTTGTTTTGAGCTATAAATGCAAGAGTCGCCCGTGTCTCGCAACTTGTGGAGGTAACGACTCGATTGGCTATGCTGGTCAATATTTTCCAACCATAAAAAGATGATGTCGTTGCACTTTGTTGTCTGGGTCGTATATAGGGTGCTCTGTCACCTCTGGACTGAAACCAGCCCTCTGCTGAGAGATGGCGATGGTAATCTTCTCGATGAGTGTAGTAATGTGTGGTCGGATCGAACGCTTCGGCTGATAAGTTGTCATCTGCAACAGAAGACCCACTGTGTGCACTTTTGCTAGACATCAAGGAACTCCATCGATTGACATTGATAGACGATCCAGATTGAGAACTATTGCGTATCGAGGAATCGTGTGCAGGGTACCGGTATATATTCTCAAACATAAAGTTGGAGACTTGGGGAGAGGTTGGAGTCCTCAAAGAAAGATGCGTAGCGTCTTGTGGTGATGGGATGGTCAGGGAACCACCTGCACTAGCTGGTTCCGATGCAGAATTTGCGGAAGAGCTTCGGCTATGATGTTGATAATTCGCCCGTTTTTGCCATTCTCTAATATCCAGATGATTGCCTTGTTCTTGCTTTCTATTTCGGGGGTCGACTCGGTCCAAGGTCCTATCTAACTTGTCCTTCTTCTGAAGTATGTCTCGGGTTAGCGGCAAAGGTGAGATAGGTGAGCTGGTTGGGCGAATAGGTGATCTTGGCGGGCTCAAGGAGTTTTCAGTTTTGACCGCTGAATTGGGTGTCAAGTTGAGTGAGTTGTTGGTGTGTTCCTGAGACGGATCATCTGGAGGTTCGGAATATGTGATCTGGGGTATAGGATGAGGAATGAGGATTTGCAGCCGAGGGAGGGAAGGGCGTTCAGACCGTCGTCTGCTTCCTTTTCTCCCTCCAGGATTATCGGGCTCTATAGGTTGCATCTACGTGTAGCCTCTTCCTCGGAATGCGATTAATGTTGCATGCACTTATTTTTTTTTCTATTTCCCCTTGAGGCTGGCTGGAGCAAGATCCAATCAATTTATTGGTGCCGACCATCTTGTTTCACTGACAAAAATTGCAATCTGTTTCTCTTCATCGGAGTTGCTGTAGTCGTGGCAAGCTGAAACTGCGTCTCAGCTAAAGCGTCATTCCCCCATCCGCTGCTTTGATCAAACTGGCTGAATAACAATGAGATTAGCATTGTATGGTGGAGTCTCAACTCTGCTGGCCACTGCTGTCATTGTGGAAGCATTTCGGCAGCGTTCAAATTTCTATACTGCCTGCATTTACCTGGCGAAATCAAGTGCATGCATGCTGGTACGTTTTATCGGGATAACTATATAGATTCAGCTCTCAGTTTTATAAAATTGTCTATCTTTCTCTAGATCATACTCAATGCTGGTATTTTCATATCAATCATGCTGGGACGACTCCTGCAAGCCGTCTTCTTTGGCCAGCTACGACCAATTGAAGTCGAAGTAAGTGTCAGTGAGGCAACTGCATGAACCATGGATTTCATAATATAACATGTGTTACTTTTAGCACCTTTACGAAAAGTCATGGTACGCTGTGACAGAAACCTGTCTAGCCATGACTATATTTCGAGACGAATTTGATATACAGTTTGTCATTGTATTCACAACCTTGCTCTTCCTTAAGATTTTTCATTGGCTATGTCAAGATCGAGTTGAATATGCAAGTATCCTACGTAAATTTTATTCAGTTTGATTCAAAGCTAATTCGAAATGCTGTTACAGATGGAGCAGACACCCGCTGTACCTGCTAATTTCCATGCTCGCATGATCTCTCTCATGTCGGCATTGTTAGTAATCGACTGTCGATTAGCCAGTCGTGCCATCTCTACCATTATGGTGAAAGGTCCCAATATGATGATTATGTTTGGTTTTGAAGTAAGTTCAATGCAATTATAAGATATTCCTAAGCTTGGATAGACTATGAACTAATCCGTGGATACAAGTATGCCATCCTCACCTCAACCATTGTATCGACCATTGGAAAATATACTCTGAATGTTATCGAAAGCCGTATGGACGAACCATGGGAGAGCAAATCGATATTTGTCTTCTATCTTGACCTGGTTACAGGTAACCTAGATGCGAATAGGATTGTTAGGCTGCGCAGCGCACACTAATTGAAGATCATTAGATTTTTTCAAGTTGATCACTTACATGGTGTTCTTTGCCATCATTTGCAACTTTTATGGACTTCCACTCCATATCATTCGCGATGTATATGTTACCTTCCGGTCGTTCATTCAGAAATGTCGAGATTTGTATCGATATCGACGTGCTACCCGAAATATGAACGAACTTTACCCTGATGCAACCGAAGAGGATCTTCAGCGCACCAGCGACAGTACCTGCATCATTTGCAGAGAAGATATGCATATTCGGGCTACTGAAGGCGACCCGCAGGCGGGAGGTCAGAGCGAGCCAGAGCCAGTGAGAGGCCGAAACTCTGACATCCCCAAAAAACTCCCATGTGGTCACATATTCCATTTCGGTTGCTTGCGTAGTTGGTTGGAGAGACAGCAGAGTTGTCCCACTTGGTAAGCGATACGAATGACGCATAAGCATGCGGTCTGATACATGTACTAACGTGTGCACTGCATTCCACACTCACTAGTCGAAGATCTGTATTGCCAGAAGGTTTGTATTACAACCATATTTTTCGCTCATAGCAGAAAGATGTGTCTAACGATGTTTGTCTAGCCACTCCTTCTACTTCTCCGGCTGCAGCAGCTCAAGCAGCCATGGGACGACAAGCCGAGCAACAAGGAGAACAAACGGAACAGTTACGCGATCAACAGCAGCAACAACCTCAGGCGCAACATCCATTACCTCAAACGAATGGTACATGGCCGTTTATGGAAGGAAGAGCAGGGCATATACGCACTGATACAGGGATCCCGCAGAATTCTGCATTCCAAGCAGGTATTCCAGCACCACCTCCACCTCCGCCACCACCTCCACCACCTTTTGGAGCAACTTTCAGCATTCTTCAAGCTATGGCTGCCCAAAACTCTGCTACACCATCGTCAGTGCCTTCATCCCTACTTGGATATTCTCCCAATTTACAAAATTTTGTACCGCTAATCCCATTAGGCAGCAACAAGCACTCCGACCAGCATACCGACGAACAATTGCCAGAAACTTTAACAGACGAACAATTGCAATCTCTATCAACAAATACACGAGAAGCTATTGAAGAAAGGTTGCGGATATTGGAAATGGTACAGGCCCAAACTTTCCGGAGTATTCAAATACTATCGCAAGTATTGTCTGTTTTGCCAGAAAACACCCACTTCACAGAGTCTATAACCAGAAATAAGAGTCAAGAAGAAAAGCGTTCCGACGAGTCAAGTCTTTCAGAGGCAACACCCGTTATATCTGAAAGAAGGCGAGAAAAAATGCCTATGGATACCCAGATATCAGAGTCTACCAATAGCACCCCTATCATTAACGTAAATAACAATCAAGAGCACGAGATATCACCAAGCCATCTACGACCAGCCAAGTCGGAGGAATCATCCAAAACAGAGAAAGAAGAACCAGAGCCATCAGAGCAAGTAAACGTCCCACAAGTTTCGACTCTAGATACCATTCAAAATGACAAACTAGAGAAAACTTCTGAAATCTGAGAATACATGGTAGCATTACTGTATGTACCTAGCACCTACTATATGTACACCATTAAAAAATTAGTAAATTTAACAATGCCTTCGCTTGTTACCATGACTCAATAACCTTGTCTAAAGGGCTTAAAGCATGTAATTTTGGACGTTCATTTTACAGCTGTCAATTTTAGACAACGGTTTTTTTTTTTTTCGCGTGGACAAACGTGCACTGACCCAGCGCAACCCTTGTATCAAATGAACAAAACTGTCCAACGGGCATGTCGTTTACAAGGCTTTTTTAAGCATTTGACACAAGGCCCTTTTCGTTCGTATTCTACGAAACCCTTAATTGTTCTCGGCATTGAAACGTCCTGCGATGATACGTCTGCTGCCGTAGTTACATCCGATCGCAAGATCTTGTCAGAAATCGTCCGAACACAGCATCACTTACATGAACCACTTGGTGGTATTGTTCCAACCCTCGCTTCCACTGGACACATGCAGAATTTACCCATGGTTGTACGTGAGGCCTTGGAGCATGCCAACAAAAGCATAAACGATATTGATTGTGTTGCTGTAACTCGAGGGCCAGGTTTGCCACCGTGCTTGTCCGTCGGTATGAACGCAGCGAAGACCCTGGCTGCTGTGGCTGGAAAGCCAATTGTTGGTGTCCATCATATGGTAAGCCGCTAGTACCGATCTCACTGCATTGTATACCATATGTTAACGTCCTCGGCCCACAGGAAGCACACGCACTTACTGCTAGATTAACCACTGAAAACTCAATGGGCGACCATTTACCTGCACCAGCATTCCCTTTTATGACTTTGCTCGTCTCCGGAGGTCATACCTTACTTCTACAAGCCAATGCCGTTGGAAATTATGACCAAGTTGGATCTACTATGGACGACGCTATTGGAGAGGCAATTGATAAAGCATCAAGAGCATTGGGTTTAAAGTGGGCTCAAGGTCGCCGAGGCGGGCCAGGTGTGGCATTAGAACAAGCAGCATTGAAAGGAGACCCTTTGCGGTACGACAGTATGTTGCCTTTGCCTCTCAGTGAGCGAGAATGGACCAAAAAAATTGGGTTCAGCTTCTCTGGTCTCAAGACAGCCATGATGAGGATGGTGGAGCGACAAAATATCACAAACAGTGAACAAGATGTGGCGGATGCCGCAGCTACCTTTCAATCAAAATGTATTCAACACTTGGAGCAAAAACTTCGTCTTGCATTAGATCAATCTATCATGCAGCAGAGCATTCCTCTCACAGCTCTGGTAGTCAGTGGTGGGGTTGCGAGCAACAAGGTGTTACGGTCACGGTAGGTGACATTGCCAGCAACGCATGAGTTTTAAACTTGCAAAAACTAATACCTTCGTTTTACAGCTTAGAAGTACTGGCTGCGTCTTACGGGCTTCCTTTAATATGCCCGCCTCCCAAACTATGTACCGATAATGGGGTTATGATTGCATGGGCTGGAATAGAAAGGTATCAAGCTGGCTTGATCGATGATTATGAAATTACAACTATACCAAAATGGCCAATAGAAAGGTTAAAGGATGTGGTCACCAAATAGAAATTAAGCGCCATAAAAGTAGAGAAATGAACAGCAGGTATGGACGCTTTAATGGCATGTAGAGCTCAACAAGAATAAATCATTTTGCCAGTTGGTGTACTTAAAAACACAAAGTCATAAAGAGGTATGACTAACTTTGATTGGGATGTTGCTGATGGTCGTGAGTGTTTGTCACACAAAATTTCACTTTAAGTAAATGGCTTAGTATCAGAAGTCAAGACTTCCTTTTCACTCCTTCTCACACACTCAAATGGCCTCTGAAGTTGAAGAAGTTAAAAAAGAGAGTCTCGATTCAGAAGAAAATTATCGTGCATCCCTTTCATCAAACATCGACCAACACAAGAGCAATATTAACGATGATGGCGATCTTCAATTTCAATGGTTCGGTTCAATAATTAACGGCAATATCGACGAAATCAGGAGCGTACTAAAACTTGGGGCCGACGTTGCTTGGAAGAATACCGAGGGGATGACTGCACTTCACCTGGCAGCGCAGAGCGGGATTCAAGGAGCAGTAAGCATGTTGGTTAAACTTGGCGCAAGTGTTGACGCACGCAACGGCCAATCGGAAACTGCGCTTCACTTGGCCACAAGCAACGGATTCGAAGAAGTAGTACAACTGCTTCTGAACCATGGTGCAATCGTAGATTTGCGAAATGACTATTCAAATACTGCACTTTGCTTGGCTGCAAGATATGGATATGAAAACATAGTGCAGCTGCTTCTGAAGCATGGTGCAACTGTCGATCTGCAAAATAACAATTCAAATACTGCACTTCACTTTGCCACAAATAATGGATGGGAAAGGGTAGTACAGATGCTTCTGAACCATGATGCAACTGTAGATCTACAAAATATAAATTTAGGCACTGCACTTCACTTGGCTTCGATATATGGATACGAAGAAATAGTGCAGCTGCTTCTGAAACATGGTGCAACTGTAGACTTGCAAAATAGCAAATCAGATACTGCACTTCACTTGGCTGTATGGAATAGGTCTGAAACAATGGTACAGCTGCTGCTGAACCACGGTGCCACTGTAGATTTGCAAGGTAGCGATTTAAATGCTGCGCTTCACTTGGCTGCAAACACTGGATTAGAAGAAATAATACAGCTGCTACTAAACCATGGTGCCACTGTAGATTTGCAAAATAGCAGTTCAAATACTGCACTTCACTTAGCTACAATTAATGGATATGAAAAAGTAGTGCAGCTGCTTCTGAGCCATGGTGCAACTATAGATTTGCAAAATAGAGATTTAGACACTGCACTTCACTTGGCTGCCAAGTATGGACATGGAAAAGCAATACAGCTACTTTTAAACTATGGTGCCACTGTTGATTCTCAAAATGATAATACAAACACTGCACTTCACTTGGCTGCAAAGTATGGACACGGAAAAGCAGTACAGCTACTTTTAAACCATGGTGCAAGTGTTGACACACGCAACGGCCAGTCAGAAACTGCACTTTACCTGGCTACACATAACATATCTGAAGAAGTAGTGCAGATACTTTTAAATCATGGTGCCACTATCGATTTGCAAAATAAGTATTCAGACACTGCACTTCACTCCGCTGCCAGGTATGGACATGAAAAAGTAGTACAGCTGCTTTTAAATCATGGTGCCACTATCGATTTGCAAAATAAGTATTCAGACACTGCACTTCACTCCGCTGCCAGGTATGGACATGAAAAAGTAGTACAGCTGCTTTTAAACCATGGTGCAACTGTAAATTTGCAAAATAATGATTCAAACACTGCACTTCACATGGCTGCACAGTATGGACGTGAAAAAGTAGCTGTACTACTTTTAAATTATGGTGCCACTGTTGATTTGAAAAATAGCAATTTAAATGCTGCGCTTCACTTTGCCGCAAATAATGGATTTGAAGAAGTAGTGCAGCTACTTTTGAACCATGGTGCCACTGTCGATTTGCAAAGTCATAATTCCAACACTGCACTTCACATGGCTGCACAGTATGGACATGAAAAAGTAGTACAGCTACTTTTAAATCATGGTGCCACTGTTGATTTTCAGAATAGCGATTTAGATACTGCGCTTCACTTTGCCGCAAATGATGGATTTGAAAGGATAGTGCAGCTGCTTCTAAATTATGGCGCCACTGTTGATTTGAAGAATAACCATTCAGAAAGTGCGCTTCAAATAGTCGTAGAGAATGGACATAAAGAGTTAGTAGAACTTCTGCTCACATATGGCGCTACCATTGACATCAAGGATGATAATTCAGAATCCAAATCTCATTTGCCAGCGAGAACCGAGCATCAGTCAACAGTATCTGAACTACTTAACAGCGATGCAGAAATGAACCCAAAGTCTAAAAATGGAAAAGGTATTCTTGCAAAACTGTCGGGAGCTGGTGATATTCCAACGGCAACCCTTCTCTTAGAACATGGTGCTGATATTGAAGCTATCGATGCAAACGGTGAAACTCCATTAGTGATAGCAGCAAAAGCCGCTGAATTGGATATGGTTTCTCTATTGATCGAGAAGAAGGCTAATATAGAAGCATCTGACAACGACTCACTAACAGCTCTACACTGGTCGGCTAAGAATGGCCATTTGGCTACTCTTGAGTTGCTATTGCGGAAAAAGGCAGATGTTGAAGCTAAAACCAAACAGGGTGATACCGCTCTTCATCTTGCTGCACAATTCAACCATTCCAATATCGTTGCTACATTAATCGACTGTAACGCCAATATTGACGCTGAAAATGAAAACGAAAAATCACCGATTGAAGTGGCAATATCAAAAGGTCATGTCGATATAGTTTGCCAACTGAAGGATGCAGGCGCAAAAATAGGGGAATCTGGAGATAGTATGCTGTGGCTATTATATTTGGCTACGGACGCCGGACAAGTTGCTCTAATCCAGAGAGCCTTGGACATGGTTGATAACAGTAAGGAAGTATACTATATGAACGCAACATTACATAGAGCATCACAGCATGGAAAGATTGATGTGGTCAAATATCTTTTGGACAATGGCGCAGACATTGAATCGCTAAATGAGGATGGACTATCACCTTTATTCTTGGCTGGTCAATATGCGGGAATGTTGTCCACACTAATTCATCGCGGAGCTTGTATAACGGCTACGAACAAAAAGGACTTACATCAAGCAGCTCTACACCATTATGCTTTCCTGAGTCAAATTGAAGCGCTGCGGATATTGCTGAATTGCGACTACAACATCCATAGTAGCGATGAAGAAGGTAATACGGCTCTCCACTATGCTGCTAGAAAGGGCAATTGCGAAGCAGCTGATATATTACTTCAACAAGGAGTGGACATCAATGCGAAGAACGAGGAAGGTGAAACGGCTCTTCACGTTGCCAGTGAACATGGTTCACTTGACATGGCAAATTTGTTGATTGACTTTGGTGTCGATATTGATGCCATAGAATTCACAGAGCAATCAACAGCACTACATATCGCCACTGAAACAAAGAACTTAAAATTAATTACACTATTATTAAGGCGAGGTGCGAATATCGACGCGAAAAAGGCATGGAGTGGAACTGCTTTGCATATAGCAGCCGAAAAAGGGCTCACAGAGGAGTGTGCTCTGATGATTGATCATGGAGCAAACGTCAACTCTTCTGATAATATTGGTTTTACTCCTTTGCATTATGCGGCAGAGAACCATAACTCAGATTTAGTCAAGATATTACTGGATCATAATGCTTCTGTTGACAGCCCACCTTATAATCAAAGCATTCTGGGAACACTTTCGCTTACGCACCCAAGCGGAAACAGCTATGTACTATGGCGCGACTTCATTGCAGTGATAAAATTGCTTATCCAGGCCGGTGCTGACCTTACAGGGATGAAAGAGATAATGGATATTTTGGAAGAGGAATTCTCAACACTGCGACAAATGTTGATTGAACCCTCTAATCGACAGTTAAAAGCATCGTGGAGCGCAACTTCGGACTTATCACAAGTGATTAAATTAGAAGCAGAAGTAGAACCAGAGGAATATAAAGATGAAGAGAAAGGAGAAAGTCAAAATGAACCTGAAGCTGTGTATGTTTATGTAGATGTAAGCGTAGATGACATCGATCAACCTTATATACCTCGGAAAAAATTGACAAGCAATGGCATAGCCAGGAAACAAGGTACGTATCGTTGCATGTATATCTGAGCAATTTTCTTATCCGATATTGACTTCAATTTATCTCGCGTTGCTTCTAAAGTTGGATTGGACAACCACAGCCTATTATATAAGACTAAGCACAAGTATGGAGCTGATTTTCCGCAATTTAAGGTCCTTCAGTTAGACGGCTATTCGGTTGCTGACGAAAAAGAAAGCGAGAACACTGCTCCTGCAACAATAGCTCCACATGAACCACGATCAAAGCTGTTGGACACAAGATCCATTGATAAGCGTATCGCAACTATTATTCAATCCTTATTCAGCTGTGTTGATATCACATTTACTACATCCGGCAATTTCTTCAAATTGGTTTCTAGCCAATGTATCGATACAAAGCCTCCAAAATGGGCAGCTCACTTTGACAAAATGAATGGCATCATTCGAGAACCAGGTCGATTGATTGTGCAGATTCCTTCTGAGAGGACCAATTTGTCTATATCACAGTGGCACGAAAAGCATCCATATCTTCAATTCGTCAATGCTGTCTATGTTTGTAGAATATCATCCACTCGGATCGATCAAGAAGCGTTTTCCGACCTGCTTGGAGGTTCAGAACAAAAGCTGGCAACCAATGTACATGCTGTATTGATAGCAGGACTCAGTATTCTCAGTATCATTGGTGGCGACGGACTTGTTGAGAAGCTGGTCCAAGCTGTGCTTGGTGTCCAACTGTCCTCTACCCAAAATGTTCATTCGAATAATATATCAGTGGAATGGCATATTCAAAATCGACGCCGGTGTCCCTGTGCTTCACAGTCTGTCCACAGGCCACTATCACCAGTAGCTGCTGCGAAATCTGTTGGAATGAATATTTGGAGAGAGCGGCATGGTCATATCGTAAATCGTGTATGGGATTTGCGTCAAGATAAGCTAATAAATAACATCGATTCCAGAAAAGTCATCTTCGTCACCCATAGATGGAACGATGTTGAGGTTGGTTATCAAGATACGATGGAAAGTAAACAAGCTCATGGCCACGCAGTTGGTATTAGCGAGATGTCAAGAAAGCTACATCGTATTAAGAAAGTGTTGCAAGAATATACAGACTACGTATGGATCGACACAATTTGCATTGACAAATCAAATTTATCAGAGCTTGATGAAGCTATTCGTTCAATGTACAAATGGTATGCTAGCTGTGCCGCTGTTGTACTTGATTCAAATACTACTCTGAAAGTCTGGCGCAGCAGAGGATGGTGTCTACAAGAAGGAGCTGCCGCAGGTATTCTGCGCGGAATTACACAGGAAGGGAAGCTTGCCACAATCCAGCAATTGGCTAATGATCAAGATCATAACCTCTGTACTCTCGATCTTCACTTATGCTATCGTATAGGAAATGCTTCTGAGATATTGGCAAGGATGGATGTTCGAAAGACAACTCGCGATGAAGATATGGCTTATGCTTTGGCGGGAATCTTTTCCATCGACTTGACATTGTCCTATGGCGAAGGAAGCCGATCTCGCGCGAGACTATTGCATCAGCTCGCAATTCAACACGGCGATTTGTCCTTCTTAAGCTTCCAGATCTCACAGACGACGTATGTCAATTATTTACCTGATACTGGTGTATCCTACAATTTGATTTCAAATTGTACAATAGCTTCCGCACCCATTATGATCAGTCACTTTGGGATATGTATTGAGGTCCAGCTTGTCAGCTCACAAAATGTGAAACAAATAATGCACATGCTGGATCGTTGGAAGGATTATACATTTGCGAGGAATCGATCTCTAGGTGTGGATAGTTTGCTAGAGGTGGCAAAAAGGCTAGAACTTCAAATATCGCCCTCTGTTCAGCTGGCTATCGTGCACGACATCCGATCCCTTATTTTAGTGGAGATATATGATAAAGATCTGCAGACAGGCGGTGGACTACCCATCAACCTTTGTTATCGACTCCAATGCTGCCAGATAGAGGAAAATGAATTTGAAAGGCTATTTGACGAGAGCACTGCGGAATTCGAAAGAATCTGGCTCGGTGATAAGCCTGAACGAGCTGGAACAACTATTGTTGGAAATTGGCAGTATCGTCGTCGAGATAGAAAACGTCGCAGGATAAACGAAGATGGCACTTGGGTGGTGTAAACTGAATAAACTGGAGAAACATTGCATATCGGATGTGATTAGTGCCAAGATAATTACCTATTATCATACCTTTATTTAGCCTTCATTGTTTTGCATGTCTTCTTCCGGTTCATCTATCTTGTGTACAGCTATTTTTTCGAAAGTGGATAAATTAAGACACATGGTGTATTTTAGCAGCGACGTCTGACCAACAGACACAAACCAGCCAATGACTGTCAATTACAGATGCGCAAGCTGATACATACTGTCAGTTGGCGGAATGAGGACGAGGATGTGGTGACCTCTCTCTTAAGAACAGATGAAAAATTCACAAAGAAAATTAGTTTACAACGTTCAATACTCTCCGGGCGACAAAGGCGAACATGCTAGCGCGGCAAAGAGATCTGGGAGACAATAGATAGAAGCTTTTAATATTTATAATACAAAAGAACAAAACAGTGGCTCTAGAGCCCATAACCACATCCTCGTCCTCATTCCACCAACTAAAAGTAGCGCTATTAGTAGGCAATCTTTCATTCCCACCAACCGTTATTTAAGTGGCAAATTGCAAATGCTTATTCGTAAAACGGCAACCTGGATATGACTACGTACATGTTCCATCTTGGATCTGCCGCATTGTGGTATGCTACTTTTATATACTTTTAAGACTTATAATCACATTCTATCAATTATCAACTTCCAAGTCCTCCTTCTTGGTACCTCGTCAAATGCATTCGTGATCCAATAAAATCCTCTACCATCCAGGCTTACTTTTTGTATTCATAAAAGTGAGGGGCAAGTTCGCTCAGCCATTCAGGCTCAATCACTGTGACATCCCGCATATAGGCTTGATTCGTCTCTACCACTTCATGGAAAACAACATATTTCGCATTTCGACTGAAGAGTACCGAGGAAGGGTGAACATTAAGGACCACATTGTCTCGGATGGTTCGAAATCGTCCACTACCGTCAATGTCTGCTTTCGCTGCCTGTGAAAAATATCCGCTAGTTATACATCTTCGGATTTGTCGGGTTGCTTCTATTCGACCAGTAGCAGTTGTCCCGTGTCGTTGCAAGCAGCTTTCTAATGGTATATTGAATCTTGCAAGGTATTTCTTGAGCTGGCCTCGAATACTGACCGCTCTTGACAGAGTCTTGAAGTTGAAATAGTGTTCATGGCACCATTTTCCAGAGAGTTTTCCTCGGGTAGTAAATGCATTGTATATGTTAAGCAAGCTCATGTGATCTCCTTCCTCCACCCAGAACTTGCGCCGTTCGTCGGTCAGGACATCCTTTGGAACCCGATTAGGCTGCACATAGACGTTCTGAAATGAGAGGGCTATTATGAGCGATTATCGTTCTTAAAAGGGTTTAAGATCACTAGGCTTTACCTGAACCGTCAACATGGCCGCAATGGACAGTATTTCCTCGCTGCAATGAAACTCTGCTGATGCGAGAAGCTGAAATGCAAATTTAGAATGATTTATCAACCATCAGTCAAATACGTTACCTCACTTACAACTTTTCCCAGTAGTGGGTCGACTGGGAACTCGGCCAATTGAACACCTAGCGGGATGGTGAGCCTACCAACATTATCCAGAGCATTCAACGAGTATAGGAGCTATAGATCAAAGAAGGCGGTGAGCAAGATTATGATAGAAAGGATTTCTGTTTGTCAGTAGTTCACCTTCCTTGCTTAAACTTACCTCTAGCGACCGAATCATCATCTCAACAGGTGGCGGTGTCAAAAAGTTAAACCTCAGAACATTATCGATACCCAGAGCCTTGAGTTGCAGGATAACCGGTGCCAAGTTGCTCCTGCAATTACAATCATGGCAAGTTTCAATTCGTTAGAAAAGATGGCAATGAAATTATCACGTATCCACCAAACGAGAAGTATGAAGTAGTAGTGTCTCAAACACGAACATCTTCACTTCCTCTACCTTTCCATACCCATATAGCAGTATCTCGTATCGCCCCCATTCTATTCCAACCACATTTATCACTGCTTTCACAATGCCCACTCACCTTTGAATCTCGGGAACGCTCGAATCTCGCAGTTCCATAAACGATTGTTCCGTGTACAGTCGAAATGTTTTGCCGGGCTTCACTCTACCAGCACGTCCTGCGCGCTGTTTGGCTGATGCCTTGGATATTGGTGCGACTGTCAAAGACTCCATACCTGTCTTAGGATTGTATGCTCGTAGCTAAAGGGTACATTTGTTAACGAAGTATTCGTAGCTCCAACGAACCCCTAACCATAATATACCTTGACAAATCCACAATCAATCACATACACCACTCCGTCAATCGTGATGGACGCCTCCGCAATGTTGGTAGCAACGATGACTTTTCGGAATCCTTCCTGCGTTGGTTCGAAAATCCGTGCTTGCTCTTCTGTCGATAATCCAGCATAAATGGGTAATGGTATGATTCCGAGAGCGTTATGTGGTAGTCTAAAGCATAAAATCCAGAATATCAATAAGGAATGTTGCATTGAACCATTTCCCTTCCTTTCATTAACCTCCACTGCCAACCTCTTACTTACGTTGTCGCCCTCTCACTAATCTCATTTACCACCTTGTCAATCTCCTCTCTTCCAGTCATAAATACTAGTACATCTCCTTCCGGCTCCTTGGTATGGATATCAAATACTGTTTGGATCGTCTTCTCCACATAATCATTGACCGGTTCGATTGTGTAAAGAATGTCTACGGGATACATCCTTCCCTCTAGTGAAATTATGGAGCATGTATCTTTGGACTTGTCTTTGGAAGTGTTGACATTAAAGAAATCTTGGAATTCTTCCGCATCCAGCGTTGCAGAGGATATGATCAGCTTTAGATCAGATCTTTTCTTTTGGATTCTACCGGGACGTAGTTGTATCATTAAAACCATATCAACAGAAAATCTAACTCTCCCAGGATCTGCTTACTTTTTCAAAACACCAAGTAATATGTCGGTGTACAAGCTCCTCTCGTGTGCTTCATCAATCATGATAACACTATAGTCCATCAACAGTGGATCAATCAGCGTTTCTCGAAACAGCATGCCATCCGTCATGTACTTGATCCTAGTATTTTGAGATGTTACATCTTCAAACCGAATAGTGTATCCAACCTAGCCACCAAAGAGATTTGTGTTATCGGCAAGCACATGGAAATCGCACACTCGGGCACCACACAGCAAATCAACTGCCCTTACCTTGTCTCCTAAATTACACCCAATCTCTTCCGCTACCCTTCCTGCCACTGTGGTCGCTGCTACTCGCCGAGGCTACACAAAGCGTTCCGCGTTAGCTTGCAATAGCAGATTACCGCCATATCAAATCCTATACAACACAAACCTGTGTACATGCTATCTTTCTGCCTTCTGCTGCCCATCCTGCTTCCTCTAGATACTGTGGTAGCTCTATTTCATCGAACCATGAATATCGCTGTGTGCAATCGTTTGCAATTGACTGAGCCACCTACGTGTTGTTTTGCCGCATCCAGTCTGCCCAACTACAATCACAGTCTGGAACTTTTCCACAAGGTACAAAAGCTCTTTTCTTGATTTAAAGATTGGCAGCCGTTCTCTTTGCTGTTGGATACTCAAATATCGGTAGCTTTGGTTGGCTACAGCCATGATTGATTCGCCGGCTTCCTTTTCATTGTCTCGATCCACCGTGCTCCCTACATGAGCAGTTATTTAATCGTACAATTCCAAGAGTCACAACTCCACATTGAGAATTAATACTTACCAGGAGCAACTGTACCTGGTTTCCAAAACGCCATTCCTAAGATCACACTAGCTCAGACTACACACGCAAAAGAAAATGCAAGTGCATACTCCAGTCAACTGGGCCATATAATAAATCTCGCGCAGTTTCAATTACTCGCTACTTTGACACGCTGTACCCGCTTGCCTTTGCAGCGCAAGACCAGCCCACTCAATTTCGCTACCTGCTCGGCCACCCATCCTCAAATTCAGCTCTTTTCATATTATAAATCGTTCATAATTCTTTAATCCATACCTTTGAAGCATAGCTGAAAACATTCATGTCAACCTTGCCTAAAGAAATGGCTCAACCTTATATTGGCTAAGATTCAATCACAAAAGCAGACCTAAAATTGAGCATAAAAAACCACTTTTTAATGCTTCTTTTCTCAAACTAGCACCGAATCATTCGAAAGCCTAAAATTGCTAAATGGGATGAAGTATCCCAAACACCTCTACGAGGCAGCGCGGATCGTGATTGGCTGGCTGTAAAAAAATGATTGGATGAGAGAAACCAAAAAATTGGCATTCGATTTTTTGACCAATCGAAAAAATAATTACGAGATGCCAAGACCTGGAATCGAACCAGGGTCTTCTCGGCCACAACGAGAGATAATGACCACTATACTATCTTGGCTGTCGATAAAATTTTTGAAATTATAGTTATTATATTCCAAAGATAAGATATGCTTTTGTTTTTCAACTATCGCAAATCGGTAATACCTCAAACCCACCTGATTACATGCCGACTTTTATTACTCATTTAAGCTACAAATGATAACTCTTTAAGTATATGCATTTTACGTCATTCATGCTACGATTCAAGGCGATTGTATACTGTATTATATTGAGTCAAACGAGGCAAACTGTCTAGCAACATATTCTAAAGTATCTGTACTTTAGGGATTTTACTTATATGTGCTATTTTCGATAAGGTCCTTCAGACTTATATTTAGAAGCTTTTATCAACAATTATGACTCTTTCTTGAGATGCTTTGGCATTGACATTTCTCGTCCTTCGTTTCGAAATCGTTTGAAAAGGAATTTCGGCATTGTTATAACGTTGGATTATATATCTGGGCTTGATACCTGTGCGTAAGTTGACCCTACCATACCATTTCAAATACGTCATCATAAATTAATCTCTTTTGTCTCGTATCGCCTTCTAGTGCCGTGGGCTGGCTACTGGCGTTGACTCAAATCTCGCTGGTATTATACGGTGTTGGCCATCAAAGCCGGTAGAACGTTGCCTTAACGTCCGTCAGGTGTTATTTGTCTCGAGGCTTGGCTCGTAGTTCTTATTATGGGGCGTGCTAGGGAGGTTCAAAATTTTATTGGGCTTCGTTCCTGATAAGTACATAATCGCCTGCTTCAAGAGCTTCTTCTAGCTCCTGTCTATGTCGTACATTTGTTCAAGACCCATTTTAGCCCACTGTTTTTCTTGTAAAGTCGTCGCCTCTTGTCGATTAAGGACACATGGTCAAACCAGGTTTCGCCGAACATTCTTGATTTCTCTTAGTTGCTTGGGTAGGTGATTAAAGATGGGTTGTCACTAGATATGACGGGCGATAGTGTCATACACAAATTCGAACTGAGACCGCTTGGCTACAGTGTGTACACGGCTGTTAAAATTTACCAGGAAGAATCTCATCCTACGGCTTTTATGTTTTTTAAACATATTTGTGAGCACCATGTCTAGTAGAGTGCTCCACCCCTCCATAATACCGTTTGGTTTTTCTTAGGGGTGTAAAGCTGGCGTCTCCGAATGCTTCTTGAATCATTTCTTTCCATCGACCTTCCAATCTATGTGCCATGAGGAATGACATCTGCAAGACGAGATCTCTTTATGGCAATGGTACTACTCATTAAGTCTCTCTAAAGAAATTATCAACTAAACTTATTGTTAACCCATACTGCCTTCACATTAAGCTGATTCGTAGCATGGCCAATAACGACATTGATACAGCAGCGTCCCTATTTTTTTCGGGGTTGACCTACGAAACCTCAGTTTATGCAAAAGATTTGGCGGTATTGGGTGCAAAAGAGCGATACTTTGGCCACACTTCGAAATTTTACACTTTAATATCGAGCAGGGAGTCATCCGAAACTTCATGCTCCTTCGGTGCCCCTCCCCGTGAACTACGGCGCGATCCTTTGTAGATCCAGTCCCAGATCTACACCACGATGTGTGCGGTCCAAGATATCAGCCCGCCTGATGAATGAGCAGTATGTGACCCAACTCCTGTCCTTTAATTGTTGCATTTGAGGCTCTTGTTTTTGACATCGTATCCGAATCTAGCGGCTTCTTGGTCTTGTCTTCCATATTCCTGGAGAGTGGTCCGGCATTTTCCTTACTTCAGATAGCGTGACAGGGACTCTGCCAATCTGAACATTCCCTTGCGTAGATTATATGAAGGCACCTCATGTTCACAGTTCCTTATGCCCATAATCGTCTCTTCTGGTTAGCGCGTTGATCATCTCATTGTATTTTCTCACTTGCACTCACTCTCGAAAATATAATGCTGAAGCTCTCTATTTATCGTCTTGGCCTGGATGACAGCATATTTTTCAGGGACAAAGCGACAACTATTAGCGACAGGAATGAATTTTTAACCAGCACGAATGGTGTGTTACCTGCCTAAGATGCTATGCATTCAACTTGAATCAGTCTGAATTAGATATAGTGGAATTGGCGTATAGTTCACGTTCACTAAAATGCGGTCAAGACTACATAAAATGCTTAGGATGCTCTCTTTTGATTTTGTACTATATGAGGATGTAATCCAGAAAAACAGAACGCCATCATCTAGACAAAGCCTTAAAACATGGTGCCTTAGTGTGTGAATTACAGAGGGTGTGTTCAATAGCCAAAATGGTCCACGTTGCAGAATATGATGATGGTATACATACACTACCTACTCACGGATCCGTTTACTAAAATTTCGGGCAGCTTCTGGGGACCAACAGCTTGTGCATAACCTCATCAAGGTGAAACGCCATCGTCACCGGCAGCGTGGATTCGATCGGTATCGACCTGTACTGGTTAGTTATTGCCTATAGTAGAGTAATACTGATAATGATAAATGAGCTTATGGATGACGAGTTGATATCCAAGATATTTAAGATGAACCTTGCCACCTACAAGTGATAAACTATATCGAGCCGTTATGACTGCATCAAACCTAACAAGTAACGAGGAAATACCACTATTTGTTGTTCAATATTGATTAGATCAAAGTCCTGTTGAATGCTTCCGTTACTTCATTTTTCTTGACGTTACCAGCGGGATCTTACAAATACCTATTGAAAGTTCCCGCAGGATGATATAATTCCTAAACAAATATGAGGCGAACCGACGATTCTGCATCCGACAACGCTAGGAGAACGACAAACTGCGAATACAACTTCATTGATATATGCATATAATGGTTATGGACAATATAGTATACTTTTAGGACACTGGACGATCGGGCTAAACAAACTGCAAAGTGTACATAGCATTTTGGGCGGCCCGCATCCACATTAAAGATGGCCAAATGTTTCTCGCATAATTTTTTTGACTCACAATATTATTCACAGTACAAATTGATAAATGATTTTGCTGGCAAGGGCAATGTATTGAATTATGCTGAAATCATACTATACACTAAGGAAACTGCGGTGTTGTACAATCCATGAACGACCATATCTGTTTGTTATAATAATGATATACATCCCAAGAAGCTCGTAGACGTTATATGGAGTATAGCATAACTAATGATAAATGGTGACAGGTCAAATTGAGGTTAGTCGGCAGACAGGGTTGATTGTAATCACTTTAGCTACTGGTAATCACTGGTAATCGCATATGGTCAGTACACTGTCGCCAAAACTGTAAAATACGGGGTGCCGTATCGTAGTATTGAGCTCAATTGTGAGCTCGCTTGTAAAACGGTTAAGTCATCACAGAGCCATTGCCTGGCAGTTGGATTGTTCAAGGTTACTGTTCTCAGACATAGCCGTATATTGACGTTTAATCTTTTAGTGTTTCCAGAACAAAAAAGGCGATTGTAAGCGAACCAAAATTAAAAAAAAAAAAAATGTGGAAGTGGAGTATACATAAATTTTCCAGGCACTCTTCTAATACCACTTCTCATGAGGCATCTCAACTCAAGCTGCAAAAAAAGTTGGCATGAGGTAATGAGGACAGCCGAATGGCAAAGGTGGCGATAGTACGAGGATCATATGCTTACTGTCGTCGTCTGAAAATGTGAAGGTTTTTTTTTTTAAAGTTGACAAGGTTCAATGCAGCAAGTTCTTTGTGGTGGCAAAGTCTTCCAAATAGACTGTGCCATTGAAACTTATGTGGAAGCCCATCACTTTGTTAAATACTGCGGAAGTCTTTGAGCAATATGGGTGGCAAAGCTAGATGCAGAGCGAGTACATGGACACCTTCTCCAATAACATTTCAATATTCGCTTCGGACACAGAAGGTTGTTTACGCGCTAACGTTGCAGATCTTGCTCGCTAGAAGCGCTTAAACAAGGTAGGCGTCGATGGCTGTCGCAGTCACTATTATTGTACGACATATGAGCGGGGATACCTTCACAGGGAGCTTTGAGAAAAGTCTATAAATATAGCGTCTTTTGACGTCCATTTTCATAAACAGGATAACTCTTTTCACAATGATGCATAGCGGAGCCGCAACTGCAAGCAAGCCCTCTCTCAACCAGATCCTCTATGAGGTGACTAGCGAGAAGATTATGGAGCTCCAAAGGCAAAAGGATGTTTTGGATCGCCACTACAGCGGTGTACTGGAAAAGGCGGATGCTAGCAAGGACCTGGTTCAAGAGATTGAAATTCTGTATGAAGGAATCAAGGAGGCCCCAGTGCAGCACAAGACAAATGTGAACATGGAGAGTGCCCGACTCTTCATTGAGAACGTTGCCAAGGATTCGTCTACTAGTGAACAGCTCTTACGCCATTGGATCGATAGCTTTCGAAAGGAGATGCAATACTCGACCTGCAAGTGCACTTACTCTTACATTTATGGAAAGAGTCTACGTGATGAGCTGTCAGAAGCTGAATCTCCTGATTTGGATAGTGACTTCTATGTAGTCTCTAAAGAAAAGAAGGAACAGATGACGGAACGCGAAAAGACGATCAAGGAACTTGAAGAGCGTGTTTTCGAAGCTGGACAAATCAATTCGGACGCCTTCAAGGCTTTTCTGGACAAGACTTTTGACACAGAGGAAGTGAAGATTAAGAAAGTACTAGATACTTCAAGAAAGGACACTGAGGAGTTTTGTAAGAAGTTGCTTGAAGAAGACATGTCAGTGTGGGAACTTAAAAACTGTGTGGAAGGTCTGTTGGGGTGTGACTTGCTCAACTCCGAGAAGCAAGCTACTTTAAGGCAGTTGAAGGAAAGCGAACCGTATCTTCAAGATCTTGCGACACTTCTATCCAGTCGACTCAAGGCGGTCAAGTATTGGAACTGGCCTGAGAAAGGAGTTTATGTGGATGTTCGGCGATCTATGGCTGGACGGTATCGAGCTTTTCTCGACGAAGACATCATCACAGCACTTTTCCTCCAATACATTGGAGTACGATTTGCAGTTCATATCAAAGGTGAATTGAGAAAAATGTACAGTATTGATGATGGCCCTATCAGTTCCCGAAGAACTCGAAGACAAGATTCTGGCATTGACTCCTTACGACGAACCACCCACGAGAACAGCCTCCTTTCTGTCCTTCCGGACTCGCAAGACAGTCAATCTAACTTTGCGTACGAGTACAACGAAGGATCCAGCAATACTGCTGTGAATATCAAGAATTCACTCATTCATCTCCTTGCCACAGAAGCTCAACTTCACAAGGTGATCAAGCCTGACCAGCCATTTACCGTAGTCCGCACTGACATGGAATGGTTCGGACCGTCTATTGAGCATGA